AATTCCTATCTTATTCCCCTTTGTTTTCACGATGTTTTCTGAACATTACAGGATATCCCTTATCGTGGAAACCAGAACATAAAAAAGGATATATATTTTTTGAAGAGTTGTTCCTGATTGTGATTTCATTCACACTGAGTAATATATAATATGTTGGTTTTCAATTTTCAATTTCAATTTCCAATTGGACCGTCAAATGTGACTGTGAATGAAATTGAGATATGTAACGTTCGTGTGATATTCACTCATCATTTTCAATTCCGTGAAAAATACAAAGTTAGAATGATGGCGCTGCATTAAGTAAAATGCTTCAGGTAACTATACAAAATCCTAACCCAAGGAAAACGTAAGATACAGAGGGGATTCCATTAGAAGGGAGACACCCTGTATTATAGAATTATTCTTTTTCTACGGCTATATAACACATAATTGCTCTTGTTTCACCCTGTTCGATAAATCAAAAACAATGATTTCATTGTGTTATTATTTCAAAAAATCTTATCTCTTATCCCCTATGAAATGTCAAATTTCTAGCACTCTATCTAATATTTGAGAATTAGGGAAAATCTAATGGCTACAAGCCGAAGAAATAAAAAATCTCGCTGTCATATGTTACAGCCGTAGAAAAAGGATAGTGTATAACTCGCACGGAATGATAATTTCCCAGTCGTATGATTTGCTGCATGAGTCGTAGGAAATGACTATCATTTCGTGCGCTTTATACAATATACTATGTCTTGTAACTATTTCTTTGATAGGTCTTTCAAATATTTTATCACAAGTTATTTGCTTGCTGTTAAAAGGCGTTAGCCTCCACGTGAAATTTTTGGTATGTAATAAATATAGCAGAAGAAACCGATTTTTTTCTGACAAGAGGGTAGTTTTTGTGTACGTACAAGGGGCAACCCTCTACTTCTATTCATTAAATGTGTCTGTGATAAGAACGAGTTTTTGTGACCGATTCACATCAACCCTCTTATGTACAGTGTGTCCAGTTTTCGATGCTCTTGCGTGATATCTCAGTTATCATGAAGATAGAACCTTGCAGTTTCCGCGGTCCTGTATGCCACTTTTTTGTGAAACCCAAGATGGCCTAATCAGATTTTGCATAACTGTTTGAGATTATGAGATACAGGGAGATTTTGAGATTCTATATTTCGTGAACTCCCTATATATCTACGAAGTTCCTCAGCGAAAATGTCAAATTGGAATTTTATTCCATAGCGAGTTTTACGCAGAATCCAGAGGCGCACTATTTTTTTTAGTATGGTTCTGGAGATAAGACTCAAATATATGATTTTTTTAAATAGAACACCCTGTATTTTTATTGAAAATGAAATATAATGTATGAATATAAAATTATCGAAAATTCTCCAAAATCACTGAAACATTGAATTTCAATAGGTTGCTATGGATCTTTTTATATAAAAAAGTTCCAATTGAAGGAATATCTTCTTTGATTTCTCCATGAAGAGGACAAAAACAATACTTACACTAATTAACTAACAAAACATAAAACTTAGGTACTTGATAGCAACAAATAAATGATAATAAAAAGTTTATAATATAGAATAAGCACCTGATTGAACATAACAATTGAATTTCCAAATAATTCAGTAACTTATTCATTGAATTGTTCAAATTGATATGCATTTCAAATCATTGAAGAATGTCTGTATTTCCTGGAAAACTGCCACTGTAGTTGCACGAAGTTGTTAGAGACTTTTGTGCCTCTTACTGTAGTCAATTGTGTGTAGGAAAAATGGATATCAATTTGAATAATTCAATAAATAAGCTACTGAATTATTTCAAAATTCAATAATTGTTTTAGTAAATATTTCATCACGTGATTATTCCACATCATGAACTCTTTATTACTATTTATTTGTTGCTCTCAGGTACCTAAGTTTTGTGTTATGTTAGTCAATTAGTGTTGGTATTTTTTCTCTCCTCTTCATGGAAAAATCAAAGGAAATTTTCCTTCAATTGAAACTTTTATAATATGAAAAATCCATAGTCCACTATTAAAATTCAATGTTCAAGTGATTCTGCAGCATTTTTGGAATATTCATATCAATAGATTATCATTCCGAAGGGACAAGAATAAGAAATTTGAGCTTATAAAATACAGGTTGTTACATTAAAAAAAGTGATATGTTTGAGTTGTGTCTTCCGTATACCCGGAGAAAAAATTTTCATTTCGCCACTGGATTCTCGTAAAATCCTCCATGAGATAAGATTTGGATTTGACAATTTCGCTGAAAAACTTCGTAGATATAGAGGGGGTCCAAAAAGTATGAATTTTCAAAATCGTTCTGTATCTCATAAACGGAAACAATTATGCAAAATCGGAATGGGCCATCTCAGATATCACAGTTCAATAATGTGAGATTTGTTATTTTAACCGGGAAATGGATCATTAAAAAACGGTGTACAATTTTTGTTTGCAAAATTTTTCAGTCTCATGTTAATGTATGATATGCTTCTAAGGAGACACATACTAATTGGATCTCTTGAATTCGATTTCTATAATATGGGAAAATAGACATATTTAATCATTTAAGATTGTCAACTCAACTATATGTATATGTTCTTATGGAATTTGAATCGTTGATACGAATTAGTTATATTCGAGGTCATATTCAACAACCACTGAATTGAATGTTGAAATAATGTTCCCTTCATTGTAATAGAATGTTTAGCCTGTATGAGTGAATAAAATATAATCGATCAGGAAAAGTACCTATATTTCGGAAAAATAAGTTTCCTCGTCCTCCTTCAAAGGTGAATATTTCGACAGGGGAGCGTTTCTATGTGCAAAAAATATCATTTTGAATAGTAGGCACTATGTTCATTTGTTATTATATTTACGTCTGATCAGTGATTTCCAGAACAATTAGTAGAACAATGATTCTATTAATTCGGATTATAATCTATAGAGCCTTGGCAGTATTCCACGCCCTATTCAACTCATTCAATTGGAATTAGAATCACTTCATCAGTCATTTTTGTCAACAATCTCTCTTCAAGCTTCTGAACCCAGTGTAAATATGACATGGCCGAATACTAAAGCTAGGTAAACATTTTGTCCCAAAGGGGTAGAATCATCTCTGTCATACGAGGGTGCGTTAAAATAAAAGGTGACCGAAAAGGTCGTTTCCAATGTTGAAATCTTCAAAAAGATGTGTAGTAAGCCTTCAAAATCTTATAAATGGGCGTGTACACCTTAGTAGAACTTTTAACTCAAACCATGTTCATAATGATCCTTTTATACATAAATAATGATTGACGACATGACTCGATCGAAAAATTAACTGGAATGTTTTATTTTTGGACATAAATAATAGTACCTTCTGAAAACGGACCCTCTTATGACGTAGAAACATCATCTCGCCTGACACTCATCACTGTTGCCATATTATCCAAACAAAATATCCTAGAGATCGAAATCGATAGTGAAATATCTTTTGATATCCACTACCACTACTGCAGAAAAGTAAATTCAAGTTGTCGATTGTAGGTTGAATCATTGGAATATAAAAAAACTCTAGACAAAACGAAATGTCTCAATCTCACAACCATTTGCACCATTACAATTTCACAATAATCCAATATATTTCATAAACGCAGCAACATTGCTTTGTTGACCCAATTATATTGAGTTCATTGGTTTTACATGGAGCTGCAAAAAGTTAATATAGGTTAGAATTGATCTTCTTCTTGTTCTTATTATCTTTGTCCCAAAAATCAACTTGTCGATTCACCAATCTTGGTGCTTTGTCAGAAATCATGTATCATTCATCTCTGTCTGAAATAGTCTTGTTTCAGTATTAGGGTTTTGACGTCACATCATCGCCTCGTTTTCAGAGGTCCGAAAAATCGGGGATTTCAATAATTTTTTATAAAACGTAGGGAGCTCACAGCAAGAAACGGTTTGCGGTGGTGAGCTAGTTTGGGTGAGTTCTATCGAATTATGAAATATTTTTTTTTTAATAAATAAATAAATAAATAAATCATTAATGACTCTGATATGAATATTAAATAAATACATCACCATATCACAATATCAGTATTTTCTTTATAAACATCCGAGAACTATATTGATATAATAAAAGAATCTTATACCTACAACAGAAAATCCACTAGAGCTTCCAAATATGGACTAGAACCTTCATTGTGTAACTAGATATCGATGTTCCCTCGTATGATTAGAGCTTATGGAAAAACGTAAACCTAGCTGACGGCTGTTAGCTCCCTGATTTCTATTTGTTGTTTTTCTGCATTGTTGTTGGATGAGGAACATATGTTTTTCCGGGCATGATGAGGGTAGACATAATTCGAAACTTTTGTAGGTACCTGGATTAAACGAAATACCCATCTCATAATAGGTTAGTTGGCTTTTGAATGTTCGGTTTAATGCATTATACATATAGATCAAAATAATTTAGCAAATTCACAAAATTATTCGTTTCTATAGTGAAAGGTCCTTAGTCAAAACAGATTTTGAATTAGGTACCAATCAATTTTTCGTACTCTGATTGTATACATCTTCAATTGAATGAATGTCATTCTAAACACTACTACTTGATTGAAATCTTTTACACCAGTATTTTTTAACTTACAAATTCATATCAAACAATCACTTTTCATCAAAATAATTGATGAAGAAACTTTTAAACAACGGAGAAATGTATTTGGATTTGTATAGTCGTCCGGATTGAATTGTGTTCACCCCCATTTCAGGCAACCACTACAGGGTAACTTTTTGACAAAACCACTTAAGCACGGCTGTCATTCAACCGTGAATATACCATATCGGATTATCGCTTTATACTGTTACAAGAACTCTCGACTATTTCCTCTGATGAATATTCATTACAATAAGTCCCCTCCAAAGTACTCGATATTGATATAATGCATAAGAGCCTATATGTTCTGAGAGCATACCGTATATACTTTGAGTATTTACCAGCTATATTAATGTGATTTAATTTGTTTCAGGACTAGCGAGTTTCTTGGGTGTATGTCCTTCGATGTTAAGCATGTCATTGAAGAGGTAAGCTACGACAAATCAATTAATTTAATTGTTTTCAAAACATAACGTTCCATAACAAGATCTCAGTTAGTTCTTAACAGTCATACATTTTATTCGACCATGGGTTGTTTCTTCAAATCGTCCACACAATTCGCTACTAAAGAAGCGACTATTAGCATTGTCCCAGCAACCATAAAAACCCAATCAGCGAATAAGTGAAAGAATCTAAGAATGAATATCGTGAGTATAGTTGCGAAAAAATTCGTTACACCATTAGCAGTACCTCTGATCACAGTTGGAAACAGTTCGATGTTAATTACAGAAAAGTTAGTTGTTGCAGAAGCAACACCAATTATTATGAAAGAGCTCATGATCATTCTGATCATATTATCTTTGACAAAATCCAGAGCCACCAAGAAAACTCCACTCACCACCATAGGTATAACCAAGCACAACCTCCTACCAGCTTTGTCCAAAAACCACAACATAATTATTTGGCCCACAATGATATTGATAGCTAGAACAAAGAAGTTCCCATACAAAGTTTTGTTGTCTTCGAAGCTAGAGCACATAGTAACATTTGTAATGTAATCAAGATAAATGACTCCTAAGCCACTGGTCACGTGATGTTGAGAAAGCAACTTAGCTAGCAGAACGTTCAAATTCACTGAACTGAACACCACCAGAGGGATCCTGACTAGCATCAGAGTAACAGTAGAAGATCTGAAGGGGTAAGACAGCGATAGCTTGGTACCTCTGCAGCAGAGTTTGAACGCTCCTTTAACAGAATTCAAACCCCCGACTTCTTCAGGCATGGGCGACAGCCCATAGTCTTGCACGAAGTACCTCAAATCCTGATCCTTGACCTCGAAAGAGTTGCCATAAGTCGACCTGTTGATGGCGTAAAACTGTTTGAGAGCCAACACAGCCAAGAACTCCTTCTTGGCGTGCAGAAAGTATCTAGGGCTTTCCTCGAGCAGCGCGGAACAGCAAGCCAACACCAAACTGAAGCCTCCGGATAACGCTAGGATGACTCTCCAGGTAGCTAGCTTCATATCGACTGCTCTGTGCTCCACGTGAGTAGGACGTTGCATGGTAACAGCAAAAACAGACATGAGGAGGTAGCCTACAGTCCAGAAGACATCGCAAACAGCCAGGTAGAAGCCTCGCTTGTGCTTGGGCAGAATTTCAGCCAGATGGATCCTCACCGTGCAGCTGTTGTTGTCCAGGCCACTGCCCAGGAAGAAAGCTGCCACTATGATCATGTAGTAGTTGTAGGCGAAGGCAGCTGTGAACGTGGTGACGAAGATCGTCAGCAAGCTGTAGGTTATCATTCGTTTCCTGCCGTAGATGTCGCTGAGGCAGTTGGAGGAGTAGCCTCCGCAGCTTTTGCCCAACAGGAAGCTGATGTGTACGCCCCATAGTATCCCACAGGTCACGAGGTTTTCGCAGGTCGAAAGGGGTATGGCGTAGAAGAGACTCATGAAAGCAGCAGCGTTGACTACGGAATTGGCGCATGCCATCGCTAGCATGAACTTGTAGTAGAGGCCCCAGCCTGTTTTGGGCAGCAGGTCTTCCAGGAATAGATAAGGAGGTGGTGGAGATTGCTGCTGGATCATTAGGGACATTGTTGTAGCAGGATTCGGGTGTTCTTTGACACTAGAAATGACACTGACTGAATCATTTGAACATGATTTGTACAGAGATGTATAGAAATTCAACTGGTGCGCTTGCTCCCTATTGAAGGTCGTTTGCGAGTTTCTCGATGGCGCCTTCTCTGATAAACCTTTGATAAACATACTTGACGTGGGTAAATCTCGCTAAGCTCATCCTGGTTACAATTCATATTTACAGGAAACATATTACCGACCGATAAATATTTGGATACGTATATGATTTGGATCAGAGCAGTGAACTGATTTCTGATCAAAGGATCGAAACGTCAATATGTCAAAAATATTTTTGAGCTGAAAAAATGCTTATTTTTGAAATTGGGGTCAAGTGTTCATATTAGGGACGTGTTCCGTAGTTTCTAAATTTTGTGTATAATACCTAATCCACCATAGAAAAAAGAAAATCTCTGTGTTGAGCACAGTATTTATTCGACCACAGAACAATGATGGAAATAGATTCATCCCTCACAGAACCAAGGTTATGAACGATTTTCCGATTATGGCGCCTCTATCGTCAAATACCTGAACCCCACGTCCAAAACTCGCTTGCAATTGTTCCATATCGAGAGTTAGTCTGACGAAACAATTGAAGAGTGAGCCCACCAGTTAAATTTCTATACATCTCTATTTGAACGATCAGATCTGGGCCATATAGGATGTTGCTTGGTTCAAATAAACTGATACTTGTCTATATTAACTGAGTTTGTAAAATTTACCAACATTAGAGGAAGAGGGCAAAGCTCGGGGCAAAGTATCAGCATATCACAGAGGTCAAGGTCGTTTCGTGGTCGTTACTGCACATGTCAGCATTTCACATTTGAATATGGCGAAAAATTTGAAATCCAATAGCTGCGATAACTCAACTTCACTCAGGAAAAATCGAATATGTGAAGTTTGTGTGTCAGTAACAAGAGCACTGAGGATTGAGGTAGTTAATAATGATCTTATTCTCTGAAGGATATTGAAAATTCCATATCACGATCGTGATGTCGATAGTTCGTTGAAATCATGTCAAAGAATTATTCGATTCTACCACATTAAAACAAAAGCGATCAGTATGAATGAATACGACACTATTCATGGGAAAATGTACCTACATCTGGAATAAACGTCACTAATGTATCGGGTGGTCACAAAAAAACCGGAAGTTTTTATTTTCCTCGTGGTTTCATCATTTCTTAACCGAATTCGAATTTCTTGGCGTCGTTCCATAGCTAAAGGGCTATAGTATACAGTGAAATATTTGAAAATTTCATGATAAACAAAAACAAAATGGCGGATTCTACCAAAGTATTGTCATTTACAAAAACCGCTGGAGAAAAATAAAATCAGATGTTTTCCAACCTGTACCGTTGTCATCTAAGGCAATCCATTCCTGAAGAGAATGAGTACTCAAACATCGAAATCGAACAAATAGTCCAGTAGATACACTCATTTTTTTTGCAGTTTGTTATGGAGTAGTACACAATGGACCATTTGAAAATCCAATAATTGAAAGAAACAAAATGGTGGAGAATCCTCAATTTTTGTGATTTTCGAAAATCTCTGGCGAATCAGGACCGATACAATTTTAGATCATGAAGGGAATGATCGAGCACTCGAATATCTCTGAATCGAAGAATTAGTCCAGGAGAAACACATTCTTTTTGGCGAAGTGTTATGGAGTGAATGTGCCAATCCCGTGATAAGAATTACTTTTAGTTTGCTTCTGGCTTTATCAGAATTCAATCGTATTTGGATTTCTTAATGCCATTCCAAAGCTGAATAGCTGTAGTACACAGTGGAACATCTGAGAATTTTATAATTGAAAAAAAACGAAATGGTGGAGTAATCATAACTTGATTTACTGCCGGAAACTGTTCAATAAATTTCGGCAACGTTGCTTTCTTTGATTCTAGTTATGTTCGCTAACATAAAAAGTGTACGATCTCTTCAAAGTTTCAAGACTGAAATCTAATATTTTCTAATAATATCCTTAACTGTTCTTCCTTTCATGCCTGTTCGGTATGAAACTTGACAGACTATTAGAAATCAATGATCGAAAATTGTATCGGTTCCGATTGGAGGAATAAACAGTTTTTTATTCGTCAGAGATTTTTGAAAATCACAAAAATTGTGGATTCTCCACCATTTTGTTTCTTTCAATTATTGGATTTTCAAATGTTCAATTGTGTACTACAGTTCTTTATCTTCGAAATAACTCTAAGAAATCCAAATTCGATTGAATTCTCATGAAACCTGAAGCAAAATAACAATAATCGTTTATACGAGATTAGCACATTCACTCCATAAAAAATTGCAAAGAAATGAGTGTATCCACTGGACTATTTGTTCGATTTCGATGTTCGAGTACTCATTCTCTTCAGAAATGAATAGCCTAAGATGACATCGGTACAGGTTGGAAAAAATCTGATTTTAATTTTCTCCAGCGGTTTTTGTAAATGGCAATACTTTGGTAGACTCCGCCATTTTGTTTTTGTTCATCATGAAATTTTCAAATATTTCACTGTATACTATAGCCCTTTAGCTATGAAACGACGTCAAGAAATTCGAATTCGGTTGAGAAATGATGAAACCACGAGGAAAATAAAAACTTCCGGTTTTTTTGTGACCACCCGATACATAAAATAGAATGGATTTAGGTGTACTCTGACACTAGAAATGACATTGACTGATTCATTTGAATGATAAGATCAATGTGGATGAAATTACGAATGGAAATAATATGATGGTCCTACCGTGGTCCTACCTTCTATTTTATTCAACGGTTCCTGCAATTCGTGTCATGTCTCAATCCACTTTTGCAGGAAGATATTAATATCGATAACGGCGGGGTTTATTCCATTACTCAACCTGAAATATTGGATTTACTTATTGGTATTACGTAGTATTTGAAGCCGGCACGTAAGACATTTTAGCTTTTGAAACGTGATAAGTTTTTGCCTGAGAGAGGGAAAAATACTATTCGCTATTCGATAGCACGTTTTTGATACTAGAGTCTCGAGATCATACCCGTGTGTTCACCGAACACGCCCGATCGTTACCTAAGCGGTGGGGACGGGGAGACGTAAACAGGCAGCAGTCTACGTTATGAATATTGGCGCGTGCCAGAATTATTTTGGAGTCAAATTTGTCAATTTACAATTTAATGTACTTCGAAACGGAACACTAGTAGTTGTGCCTTCTTGTTTTACATATATTATAGGTAGACATCAAATCAATAAACATAGTGCTCTCGCCATCGGTATTTGCTGAACTTCGCTATGGGAAAAATGTTGAATAACTATAATATATTGGGATGAAGAATGATCTATACAGGGTGTATCTAAATAACACCGAAATAATTCAAGGGATGATTCCTTGTGATATAATATGATGAATAAAGGTCATATAAACATATATTATGTGTCATGAACTTGCTTCGTTTTCGAGGTACAGGGTTACGTCCTGATTTCGAATCCGAAGTGATTTTCAATCTATCTTGCCTCCTAATATCATTTTCCGGAAATGTTGGTGGGTCCATGACCCGAGCAGTGTATTTCACTGAAGATTATCTCACTTTGGTCATAGTTGGTATATATATCTATCGCTCCTGAAAATTGAACAGTTACGTTAGATATACGGGTTGATTCCATTAGAAGTGACATGCACACTGTTTATATTTTTAAATACATCCAGTGGGATTGAATTTCATTTTATGTTGAATATTATATAGAGTGTGTTTTTTTATGTGATATATTTGTTTTGTTTAGTTCAAATATACAGGGTGATCCACGGTGGATGGCCTATATGTATCTGGAGAACGAAAAGACAACACATTCTGAAAATTGAGATGCATTGATAATTGATCATTTTCTATCCGTCTAAGATATATTCATCGATACAGTGTTGCCACTTCTATCGGAAACAACTAGCAACTTTGTTATTTCAAATAAAACACCCTGTATTTTTTTTCGTTTCTAGATTCTTCTTGAAGAGCTGATTTCATCAATGTATCACACTTGGGGTCTAGCAGGAATTATTACAGAGATATAGGGTGTTCAAAATTGAGATTTTTCAATTTCAGGAATTTTTTGTGTCGAAACTATTCATTATCGATCAAAACGGCTTACATGTCCCTATCTCTATTTTGATTCACTATCTACTAATTGGAACAGATACAGGGTGATCAAAATTCTGAATCTTGGACCACCCTGTATTTTTTCCAATTAAATTTCAGTAGATAGTGAATCAGAAGTCAAGATGGGGACATGTGTGCCGTTTTGATCGATAATTGATAGTTTCGACACAAAAAAATCCTAAAATTGAAAAATTTCGATTTTGAACAACCCTATATATCTCTGTAATCATTCCTGCTAGACCCCAAGTGTGATGCATTGATGAAATCAGCTCTTCAAGAAGAATCTAGAAACGAAAAAAAATACAGGGTGTTTTATTTGAAATAACAAAGTTGCTAGTTGTTTCCGATAGAAGTGGCAACACTGTATCGATAAATATATTTTAGACGGATAGAAAATAATCAATTATCAATGCATCTCAATTTTCACAATGTTCTGTCTCTTCGTTCTCCAGGTACTTCTGATAGGCCATCCACCGTGGATCACCCTGTATATATTTTTTTAGTAAGCATACTAGTACTACTTTTATATAATTCTAAAATCTGATCCACCCTGTATTTGTTTCAATTAAATGGCATCAGTAGAGTGAATAGAATGTTAGGAGAGGGACACATGTAAGCCTTTTTGACAAATCAATATAGGTATTGTATAGTTTATATACAAAAAAAATCTCGATTTTTCACATTCTACGTATAGGTATACCTTGAGCTTGATCAACGAAATGATAGAGCTCAATTAGAAGAATCGAAAAATGTAATAAAATATAAGGTGTTCCATTTTGAATAACAAAGCTGCTACTACTACTACTAACTACTAATAATAATTTCTAGTGAAGCAAATGAACATTATCGAAAATAATTTGAATAAAACGAGCGTCCTCGCCAACAAAACATAGGCATATATAATATGTACATATTGTTTCATGATTTTCGATGAGTGGTTCGCTATTTACATGTAGGACTCGTCGTGACATAGGTAGCGAATTATTGCAAATCAAATCATCGCTTTCATTGATGCCTCTCAAATGTTTCTTATTTATTCGAAAAAAAATGTTGAAATGTGATCAAGAAAACTGTTGGTGGCCCACCCCGTACTGCAAAAACAGAGACAGAGACAGCATGAGAGAAGCTGCCTGCCCACTTTGTATCATAGCTGCCTGCTTACGTCTCGGTCTCCCCACCGCTTAGGTAACGATCGGGCCTGTTCGGTGAACACACGGGTATGATCTCGAGACTCTTGTGTTTTTGATAACTCTGTTCGTTCAATTTCGTAATGGAAGGAAGAAGTTATAAAAGGGGTGTGCTGGTGCGTTTCACAATTTGTCGAACATGTCAGTATTACGATGTCAGGAAAAATATAATAATTGAAACTTCAGGGTCAAAGGTACCTTTCCTTCCTCTAAGTGGGTCTGAAATGCTATAGTCCAAAGTTTTTTAACGCATGACGACAAAAAAGAATCGATATCCCGACTTCATGAGTGTTTTTTTTTTCGAAAGTCTTGAATGAAAAAGTTTTGGAATCCATTCTACAACCTATGACAGTGAATTGAAATCACGCATTCAATGAATCTATCATATTCTTTTCTGAAAGACTCAAAAGTGTACTGATACAAATCGGCCGAATCTCAAGAACATTGTTTCCTTTTTTCTCAGGAAATCAGTGGATCGTTCCGTCTCCTTCCCCAATCCACTGGCCGATCTACCAACCAACCCATAACAAACGCCCGATCTGACAGCTTCGGCGAGCCGACGACCGGAAACGCCCGAACGTGGCCGAAGATGTACGAGCGGCAGTGCAACGTCGACGAGCTGATAAGTCTGGACGACTTGGAGTCCGATTTGGGCAAACCGAGTGACAGGACGGCGTTGACCGAGCAACAGAAGTACGCCGATGAGAATTTGTTTTTGAGGTGAGTTGGTATAAGCATTTAAAATGCTCATACAGGGTGTTCTGAAATTACATGAGACGATGTTTTGGATCTACGACGAAAATGTGTCTAAATTTGGTTTTTCCATGAAATTTTGCGTGAATTCAGATTTGCATACATTGACCTAGGGAGGTCTATTAGGGGCTTATTTCACAAAAAAAATTTATTTCATAATTCGATAGAACTCACCCAAACTAGCTCACCACCGCAAACCGTTTCTTGCTGTGAGCTCCCTACGTTTTATAATAAATTATTGAAATCCACGATTCTTCGGACCTCTGGAAACGAGGCGATGATGTGACGTCAGATCCCTAATACTGAAACAGGACTATTCCAGACAGAGATGAATGATACATGATTTCTGACAGAGTGAATTAGCGCGAGATCACAGTTGAAAGAATTAATTAATCAGTTGCCTCAGTCTCCGTCGGGCGTTTGGTATTTTCTTTTAACTATGGTGAGATGAGGTTACTACGTCATAAGAGGGTCCGTTTTCAGAAGGTACTATTATTTATGTCCAAAAGTAAAACATTCCAGTTAATTTTTCGATCGAATTATGTCGGCAATCATTATTTATGTATAAAAGAATCATTATAAACATGGCTTGAGTTAAAAGTTCTACTAAGGTGTACACGCCCATTGCGAAAAACTCTGCCTGAAAGATTTTTGAACCATCTGTGTACATAACGTGTTCGGTCTCTGGGAATTGGACTGATCCACTTACCCACTCGTCTCTCTTCGGGAAGAGGTCTTTGAAAGACTTTTTCACGTGTGTCTGAGTAGTCAATTTGTCGGGAATCATTCCTATAGTTTGGTGATTTTATTTATTTCACACAGTATCCCGGAGTGGTCCACCAGTCGCCCCCACTTATATGATTTTCCAGTGACAGGAATCTGTAGGAAACCATCCTGGATCCCCTTCCCAAGATATTGTGGAGAGGAGTGAGGTTGAGGAGGTTTCGTATACGCACTTGATACATAAATGAAAATTATTCAGTACTTTTTTTCATGTTCTGGTTCCCACGGGAAGGGATATCCTGTAATGTTCAGAGAACATCGTGAGAACCACAGGAAATAAGGTAGGAATTGGTGTTCTTCTTGAATTTATGAAGGTTATATGCTTCGGGAAACACCTTCCTTGGCAATGTGTTCCAGAGCCTCGCTGTTCGTTGGGAAGAGATGTTCTGCAGGTCTCTAATGTTACCACAAAGAGGTGCGAAGCCTCAACTCGACAGGTTAATTTCGCGGGGACTACCAAGGGAGGAGCAATTGTTGATATTTCAGAAGAGCATCGTCTATGAGAATATCTATAAAATAGGGCCAGATCGCCAACTTGTCTACGGTGTTCCAGAGAAGTGAGTGAGTTTGCGAGCGAGGCATCACCCTGTTACCCCTGAAACTACATACGATCATCCACGAGACGAATTGACCTCTCTTTGGACAGAATCCAACAGTTTCAGGGTATATTTGGGTGCAGCAATATGTTGCAGTAACTCTCCACTCTACAGTGGTTATTAGACTATCGACATAAAACAGCATGTTTTTATTACTGGCACAACCATCTTGAGGTAACGCAGTAATACGTCTCATTTTATTATAGTTATCTGATATCTGCATGAAACCTGACATTTTGACATGCTATTGTAATATAGCTCATTTTCAACAGTTATCCCAATATTTTTCTACTCTAGTATATTCATCAAACAGTGGTAATAAGGTTATCTAATCAACATTATTCGATGGTATGCATTATGAAACCGTGCTTTGAATTACTGCAATGAAAATAAATATCCTATATCCACACTATCACTCTTCATGATCCAAAGTTATTGTTTTCAAAAAAACAAAAAAATACGTTTAGTCTCTGAATTGGAATATTTGGGTATCTGTGAAAGTTTTTTGACATTGCTCATTGATTTTTTCGGCGAAATATCATCTATATGCATTACTGACGAATTTATTAAGAAATGAGAAGTTGAATACTTATATTCACCCTTCCTTCGGAGTTATGATGAGAATTGTCAATGAAACTTCCCTAACAGAAACCCAGATATTTTGATTCAGAATCTCATCGATCATTTTGTTTTCGAAATAAACCAATTTTAGGCCGTGAAAAGTGGGTATGGAGAATACTTTTTTCATTGCAATAATGCAATGCACGGTGTATTCCACAGATCGGTTCACAGCCAGCACTAAAACAAAACTTTGCTACATCACACACATTCACCTACAAGACACGGCTCTATCGATTCGGACGATCGAAACCATTGAACAATAATTGAACACGGGCACCCATGACCGAGAACAGCAGTGAAATGAACGCGATCTGTATCTTTGTCAGCTCCAATACTAATGAAACACTAGAGCGAAATGAGCCGAATTACGATTGTCGAATGATTGCCTAATAACCGTCATACATGTGAATTGCTAGAGTTATTCGTCAACGTACAATGCTAGAAACCCAAACAGCTATGATTATTGGGACAAACATTATCTGAATTCACCTATGAGCATAATTCACAAAACGAGCTATGCCAATAAAAAATCTAAATAGACTGGAATTTATAAAATTCTCACCTGCGTTATGATGGTAGCAAATGTCCATTCAAGGGTATTACAAATGATTTAAGAAATCGATTTTTATAATTACAGAATGGAGAGAATACTGTTGTGATAATAAAATGATCAGGAATAGGAGATTTCCTTATAATGGTTATTACAATCAGAGCTGGTAGATATTTTTAATATCCAGTTTCTCTCAGTGTAGCAGAGAACATGGCTGGGGAGGCAAGCCATAAGATGGAACCTTGGCGAGGAGTCCGTGGTGCCAGACTCGATCGAATGCCTCGGAGATATCAAGTGCCAAGGCTAAGGTTTCACCATATTTCTCAATAGATTGCTGCCATATATGTGAGACGTGAGCGAGCAGGTCACCAGTTGATCTCTAATGACGAAAGCCATATTGCCTATCGTTGATAATACCTGGATATTTCATAAGCTCGATGTTGATAGCTTTCTCCATGATCTCTGAAATAAAAGATAGCAGTGCGATCGGTCTGTAGTTGCTAGGTAGGGTCTTTTTGCCTTTTTAAGGAACTGGTTGTACCCTTGCAATTTTCCAGTTGAACGGGAATATCCCCAATTTGTAAGAGTAGTTGAACAACTTGCAGAGAACAGGTGTTGTTCGGGAGCACATTTCTTGAGATCAATCGGTGGGATTCCGTCGGAGCCACAAGCTTATTCGTTGGTGTTAAGACCCAATAAAATCTTCCTTATATAGTACGTTGGCGAAAGGTGATCTCGGGCATATGACTGTCAATGACTGTTACGAAAGCACTGTATGACAAAAATCGGTATAATAATTCGAAATCTTGTTACTTTTTTTCAGATACTTGGAACTGGATCCGACAGAAGGCCCTGATGCCAACTCGGCTGCGACTCAACGAAAAGCGACTGGCAACAGGAATGGTCGCACTCCATTCACATGTACCAAACGGCTCACCAAGTCCCCCAAAACCGGTTTCGGTTTTTCGGTGGTTTGGACTCACCCGCCCCGTATAGAAAGGGTGGAAAAAGGGTTGCCTGCCGATAGGGCGGGAATCCTGCCCGGCGATTACGTCATATTTGTGGACAAGCATAATGTCGTGATGATGCCGGAAATTGATATTTTGAATCTGATACGGTGAGTTTCTAACAAAAATTCATCCGTGTTATAGAAGTTCATCATAATGTAACAATAGGTTAGTTGAACAACTTTCGATTAAGATGGGTAATTTGAATGAAACTATCAAATTATTCAATATCACATATATTTTCCGATTCATAGAAACCAACTATCACTATCACATCATTGAGGATCATCGTCATTATTCCATCTCTATCTTTCTGTCTGTATCTATGTTAGTCTCTTTTTCTATTTCTCTGTCTGACTGTATTTGTATATTTCTGCCTCTTTGTCAGTCTTTCTGTCTGCCTGATTCTATCTCAGCAAGTCTCTGTCCATACATACCAGTCCATATTTTTCCCCTGTAAATTACTTAGTTTGTCACTAAAGGTAGGAAAACATCTCTGTTCGTATTCTTCGAATTTTTGTCGCTCCGACTGTGATTTTTTCCTTCATATTCAAGATTTCCAAGATTTTTTAGTTCGGCAGCCTGAAAAATTGAAGATCAATGACAGAAATCTAGTATCATTGAGTCATTTATGAGAAACACAAACGTAGATAACAGAGAATGAACGATATTGTCAAATCAGACAAAGGAGCGACTCTGAATCAGATGGAAAGCAGAAATGAAGGAACATTGAACATTCGGAGAGAAATGATATAGGCAACAAACTGAAGAATGATAAACAAATTGAACTTATCTAAATAAATCAAATGAAAATAAAATTACTTTTTTTATATTCTGGAAATTGGCTGATTTCTGCGTGTCGGTAGTATTTCGTTTTGTATCTTTATCGATTTTTCTTACTTATATAATTTTCATCTTTCAATCGACTATAGAAGAATCACTTCAGTTCATTGTAAACTTCGAGAAGTATTTTTTTATTATCATGAATTAGATATCGTACTAAGTTACTATCGGAAATGTCTTGTCAATTTATTCAATTCGTTTTCTCACGAACCTAATGAAATTGTGATTAATTGTTTTTGCTTTTGGGTGTATGATAAATTGACATTCATCATACAGGGCGTGGAAATGAATTCTGAATTGAGACTCTATCACGAATCTGCGATAAGAGGTCTATAAAAATCACAAGTTTCCATCGTTCAAGTTTGAACCCCCTGATTGGGTATGAAATTGTTGAAAAAAATATTCTCAGATAAATCATGTTCCCCTTTTGAATGTTCATCAGATATAATTCAATGTTCGACGTGGCAAATAGCCAGGAAAGTAGTTGTTTTCTGTTGAATATTCAGAATGATGTGTGTATATACATATTTTTTGTCTGAAGGAGAATGCAAATTCTCAATTTCAGAAATTTTTATATTTTATTTTCAAACTCTTATCGTGTGTGTTCAATAGATATAATTCAATGTTCGTCGTGGCATATAGCCAGGAAAGTAGTTGTTTTCTATTGAATTAACTGAAAAAGAGTAAATATTCTCATCACATAGAGAATGCGAATTCTCAATGTATTGCTTTATATAAATATATATCCATTTTTATATGTTCATGATTTATCTGAGAATATTTTTTTTTTTTTTTCAATAATTGTTTTTGATTGATGAAAATTATAAATGTGGCTTCTTGTCCTTGGACCTATGTAAGGCATTTGACACTGTAGATCATACAATTTTACTAAATAAATTATATTCAATCGGCGTCAGAGGAAGAATTCATGATTGGTTCACACATTATTTGACAAATAGAAAGCAGTATGTTGAAGTGAATGATCTTTCTGGCTCACTAAAGAATATTACATGTGGAGTACCGCAAGGATCAGTTCTGGGACCAATTTTATTTTTAATTTATATTAATTCAATATCAACTCTGAAATTGAAAGGAAAGTTAAAATTATTTGCGGATGAGACAACATTGATTTATATATCCAAAGAGTTAAATGATATCGAACGGGATATTACAAGTGATTTGGAAAACATATCATCTTGGATGCAAATTCATAAGTTGACTCTTAATTATAACAAATCTTCATATATGTATATTTCCAAAAGATCAGTTAATATTGCGAATAATGCTATAACTTTCAACAATAGATCAATTAAATATACAGACGTGACAAAATTTTTAGGTCTCTATATCGACGAAAAATTATTATGGACTAAACATATAGACTATTTGAGAAATAAAATAAATCCGATCATAGGCATTTTATTCAAAATCCGAAATATTATTCCCATAAAATACTTGAAATGTATTTTTTCTACAAACGTCAAAAAATGACAAGGTTCGCGCATTGATAACTAACTGCGAAGTGACACTTTTTTTCAGTTTCCTACGTTACCATGATACCTTGCACATAACAATGCGCGAAGTAAAACAGTGCGCGAAGTAGGTACTTCGCGCATTGTAATGTAGAATTAATGAGATATTTATATTTCAACTTTATGGTCCTCAATCGAGCAAACATCCATGAAATCATTTATTTCTGAATGTTCAACAATATCTTCGTTTTGTCTCTCGAAGCGCACGAAAGGAAATTCCTATTATGTTCGTGGAACATCGTGCGTACCTAGGGAGGATAGGGGGAGGCCTTTAAAGCCAGTTCAACACTATTTTTTATATCAAGCTGAGTATATTTTTACTTTAGAACTATATTTTTTGACGTTTGTAGAAAAAATGTTGTTTGCAACTCGAGCGCGAAATACTTTGGTCATCTCGACTAATTTTTTAACTCGGCTACGCCTCGTTAAAAAAATCAGATCTCGATCACCAAAGTAGCATTTCGCGCTCTAGATACAAAAATAACTATACTTTTGCCTCATTTATTCAAATTTGCAATATTTAATTTCTATTTGGGGGAGTACGAATATTTCACGTCTGAAACCACTAACGAAATTACAAAACAAATCAATTAAGTGCATTTTTCATCTACATTTTCTAGAACCAACGATAAATTTATACAAACCAAGACATTTTCTGAACCTGATTTCGTTATATAAACTTAAAATATGTTGCTTTATTCATTTTGCCAGGAATAAGTTGAAAATATCAAATTTAGCTTTCAATGAAGTCAATACAGTCCATAATTATGGGACTAGACAATTGAATTACTTGATAGCAAATACATTCAAGTCAAACATTGGCAAACAATCTGTTTTTCACAATGGAATAATTTTATACAATTCATTACCGAATGAGTTGAAAAATATACATGATGCAAGAAGGTTCAAAATCAATCTTAAAAAATACTTGCTCAGGACAATTTGAAAGAAAAATATGTGGCATGATTCGATTACTTAGGAATGAAATATAACTTTAATCTTATAAGACACAATATTAATTCGTTTCCACTGAGTGGAATTCATTATAGTTAACCCTTTATTATTATTTTTTTTTTATATGTATTTATGTATCCCTATCATAAACAGAAATGTTTCTTGGGGTAATAAAGACAATCAATCAATATGTGATATTGATATGATTGAAGAATATAATAATTACGACATATTATGTCATAATCTTGAAAATCAAAAAATATAAAAAATGTCAAATTTGGGGTATGTCATACCTCACCACACTTCTGATGTTATGATTGTCCACCACACTGCCGCCGGATTTCTAGTAGTATAGTTTGTGGAATTCGTATCTCCACAACATGCAACTTAGTATGTTTGAACATATTGAGAGATTGTTTTTTACACTTCACTGAAAATTTACTCATTTATAATACCTACTTCTTGAGGTAATGGTGAAATAACAAACAAATTTTGAACTGATTAAATCTTCACTCATGAACAGTAGAATTTTTGAACAGTAAACAATTTATCAATCAGGTTTCTGATGATTGTGTTGTAAAAAGTAGAAAAGATATACCTACCTGAATTTACCTTCGAAATAAAATTTTATTCCCAAAAAGTATGCTGGATATTCTTTTTTAAATATCATGCTATCAGGGGAATATCAAAGCGAAATATTCGATCGAATTGGAAATCAACATCCCACAGAGGTTTTCAAGAGAATTCTTGTTCAATAATGATAAAAATTACAGCTTATGTATGTTGGTATACACATATGAAGTTCAACTTGAGGTAGGTGGATTATCTAATGTTAAACAGAGAGAATATAGTCCTCAATTGAAACACAATAGACCACTGGAAAATACAAAGTTCGACAATAGACAAATAACAAAGCTGAACGTTTGAGAACTCAAAACGAAATTAACATAATAGCTAAACGCTCCGCCTCGCAAATGCAAAATTCGCTTGTCAAACAAAGTGTCACTTTTGATCCGAATGAAACATGCTATTTTTTCTGCAACCGAATCAATCAACTCAAATGAACATGGGAAGTAACTACCAATGCCGTGCCCCGTGCCATATGTATGCAATGCAACAAATATTGACAAATAATCCATGTGGTGAGAATATTCTACCTGCATTAACAGCAGGTTAGGTTAGGTTTTCTAGGATGTTCGAATTGTAGTTTCAATATAAATACAACCACAGAGTGACATATTTGTGTATGGAGCAGGTGCTCTAATGGCAAATACCGCGCCCGTGCCAGGCTATAGGAACAAGACGTGGAAAATGTTAGGTTAGTGAGCATATCAACAATGATAATAGTGATTATTCATTCCTCTCCATACAACACTGTTTGACTTGATAATCAAATGAAGCTGAACAATATCGTTGTTTGAAACAAAAAAACTATTGCTTGCCGTGATTATTCAAATACAAGTTATCGATCCCGAGAATAACGAATGAAATACAGATCAAGAAAGTATTTGAATCTTGAAGGCTTCCCTGATCAAAACAAAAATACTTAACTGAGATGTTTATAATTCCAATATTAAACTATAATAAGGTGTATTTATATCTCCAGCATAGGTATGAAATGCCTAATCTGCTGAAATCGAAAAAAAAACAAGTTTGCGTCTCAACCCAAATAACCAACCGTCACAATGTTGTTTATTCTTGATGACGTCTAGTAGATCCTTTTTAGTTCCTAGGAGCTAAAGTTCAACTTTAGCTCCTAGGAACTAAAATTCAACTTTAGCTCCTAGGCACTAAATATGTTGCCTAGCAACATACCTATTTTTGTGTCAGTAATAGAAACGTCAATTTAAGAGCTAATTTTGGTATCAAAATGGACGACTTTTGTGTCGGTTGCAGAAAAACACCATTACCAAACAATGTAAACAATCCGCCAATGGCCCATAGAGTAGTACCGACGTTCGCCGTTTTGGTGCTAAGATCTCAATCTCAGTCGCCTATTATTATTATTATTATCATTATTTTATCATTTCCAGATCGTACGGCAGTCAATTAACCCTCGAGATATTCAGGCGCCACCCTTCTAGGAACGGTTCCCTGCCCAGCGTGAAGCGACCCTCCACCGACCAGTCGAGTGGGGGCGGCATCCCTCTAATTCCGCCGCCCCCGACCGGCTGCCCCAATCCGCCCCTGCGCAGGCCGTCTACAGTGTGTTCGGCGAATACCGCGTCGCTGGAATGCGCCAGGCGGCGGTTGAACCTGCCCCAGGTGACGTTCAGCAGCGAGGTTGGTAGCGGGGTGATAGTGTGAAAAGCGTATGAAATTTGAATCGCTCATTCCAACATTTGTGAAGATTTCTAATTTTCAAAATTATTTTTTTAATAAACAGGACAGGAAGAAAAACTTACAGGCAACTCCACCAAAACTATACTTCATTTGAATGGGGGAGACCACTGATTTTTTGAAACGACATTATCGTGAACTCTATACTGAAAAACTACCAATGAATTAATTTTGAATTTTTTCATTCATGCTAAGACGATGAAAAAAATAAATTAGAATATGTCCATTTCTAAACACACAATTCCTGCGCCATTTGAAATTTTGTCAATTCATTGGTGAGACTGGTGCGACGTCTTAGTCCCAACACGCCTATTGTCAGTATTGTCCTTGAACTAACCAATCACACTGCAACACTGCAGAATGACGAGGTATCAGAGAGAGATAGCTACAGTGCGGGACTAATACGTCACGACTCCACCATCATATTTGGCTTTTCGAAATAACGAATGAAATATGCTGATTTCAGAACGATATAGATTCGATTCCCTTCATCTTCAACTCATAATATTGATTGTAAATCAAACGTAAATCATGATTCGTCGATTGAAAGAGGTTTTCACGGATTTCTTCCCTCAGTGGTCTTCCCCAAATTGGGACATGTTTCGAAGCTGTTCTGGGGAAAATGCACATGTTGAAAACAAAAAATTAGAGTTTACATATTATACCAAATTGAAATATGAAACATTAAACAAAACAGGGACTGCAATTAACTGCGGATCACGTTTTTTGCTTTGCCTCGCTATCTTGGTTCAATGTCCAGCAATGTTGGAATTCTTTTGATATAAAAGATTATAATAAGTTTTCTTCGATGATTTTTATACTAATTTTTTGACGAAGGTGATCCGCAGTTTTTTTTTATCGCTTGGAGCGCACGAAAGGGAATCCCTATAATGTTCAAAGAACATCGTGCGTTCCTAGGGAGGACAGAGATAAGAGATAGGTATTGGAATTTTTTTTGAACTTCTGGAGATTATATGTTGTTGGGAATACTTCCACAGGCAATGAATTCCAGAGCCTAGCCGTTCTATGGATGAAGGAGTTTTGATAAAGTGCTGTTCGACATCTTCCGAGGTTGACAACTAAAGGATGTGCTGACTGGGCTTGTCTAGTTCGTCTGATTGGTATTGCTAGTGAAGGGATGATAGCAGAGATTTCCAAAGAACATTTCCCGTGGAAGTATCGATAGAAAAGTGAAAGGTCGCCGACCTTCCTACGGTTTTCCCATGATGTCAAAGAGTGAGTGAGTGTGGCGTCACCCACCAGGCGAATGGCTCTTCTCTGGATGGAATCTGAGAGCATCAGCGTATGTTTTGGTGCTGAACCCCATATGTGGGAACAGTATTCTAGAACAGGCCGTATCTGCGCTTTGTAAATCATGAGAAGCTGTTGAGGTGTAAAGTAGCTTTTCACACGGAACAAGAATCCGAGTTTTTGTGAAGCAGCTTTTGCGATGGATCTGACATGATTATCCCATGAAAGAGTGTTGCTGATGGAAATACCAAGCATAGAAATGGTGGGCTTGGTGGGGATGGTGGAGCCAGACATTACAATGTCGGGCATACTGAGTTCCGCCTTTCTAGAGAAAATACAGGCTTGAGTTTTGGTGGCGTTGAATTCAACTGAGTGTTTGTTCCCCAGGCTGTGATTTCAGCAAGATCTTCATTGACAGCATTGACCTGCCTGCGCCGTGAGTTCCTAGTTTCCTGGGAAGAAATAGGAATTCTGGAAGAGAACGGTCCCTGTTTTGTTTAATGTTTCATATTTCAATTTGGTATAATATGTAAACCATAATTTTTTGATACGAGGCCCAAAATTTTTTGTTTTTAATACTTTGCCTGACGAGGTATTTGTCTTTCTTATTGTAGTACTTCCTGTAACAATATTGCTGATGATGAAGCTTTGAAGCTTCGAAACATGTCCTAATTTCCAATTAAAGTATAGTTTTGGTGGAGTTGACTGTGAGATTTTCTTCCTATTATCTTCACTCCACTGCAAGATGGATGGTTTGGAGTTTTTTGCGAAATCGAAGCAATATATTCGATTCATCTCGATAAATACTGTCTGTAGGTTAATCGAGAAGGTGGTTCATTCATTTTACTTGATTTTTTGGGATTTTCTCTCCTCGTATCTATTAAATAAAAATATGCGTATTTTTTCAATATATTTTTAGTGGGTCAAATCAGATGATTTGCCCCAAAATGTCACTGCGTTCAACAAATTTTTCTCTCAGGGAGCCTAAAAGAAAAATCCAGTAACTTGTCACTGACAATTTGTTAGAAAAAGTTTTGAAGGGAAGAAATATACAGTGTGTCCCACTTACCATGCTCACCATGGGTATCTTTTTAACGGTGAGAGATACGAGGTCGGTTAAATGACACCAAATGTGGAGTTTGTCAAGGCCAACTATAATGTGAGAAAATATTTTGATGAAATCTATTCGTTTTTGTTTTATACGCAAAAAACAGATTTTGATCATTTTCAGGTCTCCTCCGTAACTTATTTATTTATGAAAATATTCGAATAGGAATTTCACATTCTCATGGCAGTTTTTCAAAGTGATTTCGAAAAAAATATGGAATTTATACCAACTCTTCTAGAATTTGAGATATCAGCACCAACTCAAGTTTTTCAAATGTAGGTCATAGCTCACTATGACTTAGTTACGAATAACTTTTTTTTCTCTTGTAGATGATATGTCGCAGTAATAATTTTGTGCTGATAACAACGGAGTTATCGTCATTTATACAAAAACAAAAAATTATATGGAAGCCGCCATCTTCAATTTATGAATTTTAACAAAAAAGTCATGATCTCCGACCTCTAAAACCATCACTCACCAATTTTGAATGGAATCGGACCAAATCTTGTCCGTATCTTGAAGCAGCCATTTTTTTTAATTTCAACAAAAATTCCATAATGTATTGTCACCGAAATTATGAACACCTGCCAAATTTCGAGTTAATCGGAGTTATGGAATTTTTGTGGAGATTAAAAAAAATGGCTGCTCCAAGATGGCGGACAAGATTTGGTCCGATTCCATTCAAAATTGGTAAGTGGGAGTTTTTGAGGTCGGAGATCATGATTTTTTTGTTAAAATTTATAAATTTGAGATGGCGGCTTCCAAATAATTCTTTGTTTTTGTATAAATGACGATAACTCCGTTGTTATCAACACAAAACTATTACTGCGACATATCATCTGCGAGAGAAAAAAAAGTTATTTGTAACTAAGTCATAGTGAGCTATGAGCTACATTTGAAAAACTAAAGTTGGTGCTGCTATCTCAAATTCTAGAAGAGTTGGTGTAAATTTCATATTTTTTTCGAAATCACTTTGAAAAACTGCCATGAGAATGTGAAATTCCTATTTGAATATTTTCATAAATAAAGAAGTTACGTAGGAGACATGAAAATGATCAAAATCTGTTTTTTGCGTATAAAACAAAAACGAATAGATTTTATCAAAATATTTTTTCACATTATAGTTGGCCTTGACAAACTCCACATTTTGTGTCATTTAACCGACCTCGTATCTCTCACCGTTAAAAAGATACCCATGGTGAGCATGGTAAGTGGGACACACTGTAGATATATCGAAAAAATATCAAATTCTCACTTTTCTTTGGACGTTTCGGGACCGAATCTGCTCCCGTTCTCAACATGAAAATGCAAAATATGTTTCTTTAGAAGTTGTGCTGCTTATAGTTTGACACTTTTCAGTGTCATACTGATGTTGGCATATGAATGAGTGATTTTAGTCTACAGATTCGGTCCCGAAAAATTCGTTAAACGCAGTGACAGTTGGGGGCAAATCATCTGATTTGTCCTACTAAAAATATATTGAAATAATACGCATATTTTTATTTTATAGAAACGAGGAGAGAAAATCCCAAAAAATCAAGTGAAATTATCTCGAAAACCTTGATTTTTCATGCTACTCAAACTATTATCAGTACGTAACGAGAAAAAAAACGTCACAGATGGAACAAAGATAATTGAATAACACAACATATGGGTACACTCGAAGTTTCAACTGATGACGAATGATTTTGCTGTATGTAAAATGATGTCCCGAGTTCAATATAGTACAGAATGTTCTTCTTGAAAATCAAAAGTTGAGGCCTATTCATTATATTCTATCGAATTTCTTCTTAGTTCTGTTAAACTGACGAAAAGTACTAATCAAAATTAGATAAGTTAGTGTGACCGTCTTTCAATATTTTGTGATCCACCATTTTTGAAGATTAATCCTAATTTTGATGCAATTTTGAATGTCGAATTTTATGCTCGATTTGCCTTATATTTATGGAGATTAATATATAATTAATCTTGCTGAGTCTGTACATCGAAAATATAGTGCGAATCAAAGGCAATTTGGAAAATTTAGTGATAATAATTTTTTCGTCATTATTTTTCTGATGTACAACGTTTTATTGTATAACTAACTATACCTCTGAGACATACCAACTTATGTAATTCCTGATGAAAAATTCAGGCGAAGAAACAATTGGTAGATATTTTCTCGCTTGCTTTCAATCGATTTTTTTTTACATTATTGCTAGTCTCTTATATGAATCACACATTAGATTGTAATTAAAAAGCTTGTGCTTCATGTTTTTTACAATTTCTCATAATCACATCACGAAATATAGCAAAATGTTTGCTGGAATCGAATAACATGTAATTGCTATTTTTTATGAAGGCTTTCATAGCGCTTTCAATATTGATATGGCCAGTATACTAAAAAGTGTGAAAAAAATTAATAGTATTGTCCTCTTTTTAATTTGTTTAGGTATAAGTGATTTTGTTTGTGTAATTTATTTAACTGTTTTCCTCACTTTGTTTTTTATTTATTATTCATTTGCTGATATTATTTATTGATCCTTCTATTTTGTTGAATATGTTATTTATGTTGTGTATAAATACATGTTTTGAAATATTTTTTATTTTTTGTTTTCGTTATTTTCCTTTATTTCCTACAGTAGTTTACAATCATTTCGAAATACCAGTAGACAGAAAAAAACTTCGAAATGAATATCTGGAAACTTTAGTCAAATATAAAAATATCCCTAGGTGAATGCAGTTTCAAATAATTTGATTGGTTGGGCAGTAGTCTCGAAAATACAAGGTGAATTTGAAAGTGAGTTCTATTTTTTAACACGATATACACCGTGTCCCAGCTAAAATGTTTTCCCTCCCTGTAAAAAGTCAACGGCGTGATCGAATGACTTGAAATTTGGTCACCCAGTATATTTGATGATGCTCACTCGAAATATGCTATTGAATGAATCGTAGGTATACAGGGTCACACCGAAGTGCACCTAAACTTTCCTATTTGAATAGGGACACCCAGTATATCATTCCACATTCAAGTAGAGTCATTATTACAAATTCAACAATACCGGGTTTTTCAAACGTCTGCGAGAATATGGAAAAAAAATGAAACGATTCAATAAAAAATTTATATGATTAGATTTTTATTATAATATAACACGATTGAAATCGAATGAAGAGAAAATAATTGAGGTCTCAACAAGAATACATATTCTTCCAAGAAGATGGGTGTCCTGCACATAACTTCAGACCCGTGAAGGACTATCTTCGCCATCGGTTCGGAGAACATCTAATAACCACCAATTGTCTCGATGGTGATAGCAACTGGCCAGCTCGGTCACCAGACCTCACCCCACTTGATTTTCATTCGTAGGGCTTCTTGAAACAACAGGTTTATGAGTCGCCAATTGTGAATATGGAAGAAATGAAAGAGAAAATCACAAATTTATGCGCTCAAATTGATGTCAACGAGATTCATAGGGTCAAAATGAACGTTATCAAAACAGCTAGGAAACGTTCGCAAAAGAATGGACGACATAGTGAGCAGTTCAGGTTTCGATTATTTTTATTCCAGTCGATTTCAATCGTGTTATATTAATAAAATCTAGTCATATAAATTTTTTATTGAATCGTTTTATTTTTCGCCATATCTTCGTAGTCGTTTGAAAAAATCTCATTAAACCCGATATTGTTGGATTTGTAATAATGAACTCTACTTGAATGTGGAATAATATACTGGGTGTCCCTATTCAAATAGAAAAGTTTAGGTGCACTTCGGTGTGACCCTGTATATATACGATTTATTCCATAACATATTTCAAGGAAGCATCATCAAATATACTGGGTGACCAAATTCAAAGTCATTCGATCGCGCAGTTGATTTTTTACATGGGGGACCATTTAGCTGGGACACGGTGTATATCTCACCAAAATAAGTTGTTTGGCGAAAAATTTTTCATAAAATATATTTAATATAACGAAGGTACAGATATTTAATGGTTTGAAGAAGACTTCAACTATGAAATATTTTGTTCACATTCTCTCAAAAAAAAATTGAAGAAAGCCGATATTAGTCCAGCATTCAATACCCTACAGTTGCATTATTTCATCAGAAACACTAATCAAAAACCTCTTTTTACATTTTCAACTTATTAATTATCGTTTTAAAGTGAACCAAAAAACTTTAGTAGGGAAATGAAGCATTAGGCCAAACAACTCATTTTGGCGTGATATATACCCTATTGAATACAAAACCAAACTTTCAGATTCACCCTGTATATTAGGAGTCACTTGATTTTTTGAATCGACTGTTACCACATTCTGACACGTTTGTCAAATGCATTACTTAGCAAATAAAAACAAACGTTGTGATGACTACGAAATATATTGGGCATACATGTCAGAATATTGAAACCAGATTCAATTGAAACACTCGTTTTTTCTTCTTCAAGGTGAGTTTATTCAATGAAATCAAGAATTTGGAGTATACAATAATGGAATAAGTATTGAGAACAAAAAAATATCTGATATTTTTTTTCAAAAAAATTCTATCAAAGACGTTCTTTAATGTCTACAGGGTGTTTCAAAAAAACCTGACCCCCTTGCTAGGCGTAGGTAGAACACTGCAAAATAAGTTGGGTTTGCTCAGTGAAAAAATGTCGTAACGGCATCCGTTTTCAAGATACAAGGTGTTGAAAAAATTATTTTTTTAAACATTTTTCACGATTATGTCGAAACTACTGGCAACATTGTAATGAAATTTTGTGTGGGTGTTCCTTGAAATCTGACACATCACATGGATTTGTTTTCATATCTGACTCTCATAAAGTGCGCTAGTTACACGGTTCGTACCGAGTAGTTTAGAACATATAACTTTTTTGAGATTAAATTTTTCAATCCAAATATGATATGAACTTGAACATCATTCAATTTTACACCAAAAAGGTACCCTTGGTGAAACTTGATACAATGTTCTGTTTTCGGAATATTTCGATTTGAAAATAATGGAGTAATAGCTGATGCTGGTATAAAATGAATTTTATTGAGTTCAATTACCTATTTTTTCAGATTAAAAAACAATAAAATCATTCTTGTACTGAAGTCATTGATGAAACAAAGAATCATAAGTAGAAAATTAGAAGATATTTGACTAGAAACATGAAATATTGAATCAGTTAGAGTAAGTGTTCAAAATGTCCTACGTTTCGACGAATACATCGATTCTATATCCTTTTCTTGAGAATGTATTATTCTTTCAAACAGTTGAGAATCAGCTGTTAGATCATTTAAGTGATGTTCAATTATGTCTTACAACTCTCGACGTGAATTTACCTATGTAGCATAAACTTTCTGCTCAAGATACAACAAAACTGTGTAATCCATGTTCTTAGTCAAATCTGTTTCGATGTTATTCTTGTGATTCATTGTTGAATCGATAAGTCTAGCATCAGAAATGTATTGTTGTTTTCGGTTTTCAATAAATAGGTGATAATTTTTCATAATACTCACTTTAATACATAGCTTTATATCAGCAACAGTTATCACTTCATCATTTTCAAATCGAAATATTCCGAAAACGGAACACAGTATTGAGTTTTACCAAGAGTACCTTTTTGGTGTGGAATTGAATGATGTTCAAGTTCATATCAAATTTGGATTGAAAAATCTAAACTCAAAAAAGTTATGTTCAAAACTACTCGGTACGAACCGTGTAACTAGCGCCCTCTATGAGAGTCAGATATAAAAACAAATGCATGAGATGTGTTAGATTTCAAGAAACATCCATAAAAAATTTCATCACAATGGTGCCAGTAGTTTCGACATAATCTTGAAAAATGTGTAAAAAAATTATTTTTTCAACACCTTGTATCTTGATAACGGATGCTGTTACGAAATTTCTTTACTGAGTTAACCCAACTTATTTTGCTGTGTTCTACCTACCCTATTTAGGGACTTGGGTTTTTTTGAAACACCCTGTATAACGATTTTTCAGAAACAAACGAACAATCCGGAGGAAAACAGAAGGAAAGCAATGTATCAATTGATAAGCAAAGAGCAACAATACGCGACAGGATTGCAGTTCGCCATCACTAGGTTCGTTTCAGCGTTAGCTGAAAGAAAAGATCTCATCACAGCGTCTGAACATCGAATACTGTTTCAAAATTGCGAAGAGGTAACTCATTGAAATTCAACAGTCATTTACATGCATAATTAGGTCCATTTCAAATGAGCTGACCTGTACATACATATTTCCGATTTTTATGAGCATCACTGTACGATTTTTTCCAGATCCTTCGGATAACAGAAGACATCCTGGATCAACTTATACAGGACGATGGGGAACCGCAGCTACATCATCTAGCGAGGATCTATCATTCTAAAATGCATGATATAACGACAGCATATAAGCGCTATTGCTCAGGAATTCAAAAAGCCGACTGTATTTTAGCTAGTAAGACGAAAAACTCGAACTCGGACTTCGTCAGGTACTATTTTGACAATATTATTATTAGAAGCTCTCGAGATAGTCGAAAAAAAAAAGAATTGTGTTTGTACGACCTGTTGTTCATTTCTATAAGAATCAAGCACAAAATAACCTTTATACAGGGTGAGTCATGAGGAACTGCACATACTCCTACCACGAATAGAGGCCCTTGAGGGGAATACATAATGACTAACAGAACGTGTTTTCTCTCCTCCTTTACCAATATCATTTTATTCACAGTGTATACAGGGTGTTTGCTAACTACGGTTCCTAACTGCAGGTGGTGATTCGTTAGGTAACTACAAAATATCATGTATATCCTGGGACCAATCATTTATTTGAACTAATGAGGCGCTTATTTAGCCCTATTTGGATTGAAATTATTACAATATTGTAAAAAAAGTACGCCACTTACTTTTTTTGATAAATTTCCATTTCTTTTAGATTTAGCAACTCAAAATACAACTTTCTGGTCTCTTGTATTTTCTTCATATCCTGCTTTGTTTTCGAGGAAAAAACAATTAGAGCCACTGTATTGCATATCATGAACACCTGCATTGGAGAAAGGAGTTTTCCAGTTATTTCCACCAAAAATATAATTAACACTTCATATGCTGAAATTTCAGAAAATTTGATAAATAAAAGTACAAAATTTCAACCAAATCGGTTCCAGGATATTCATGATGGGTATTTTATAATTACCGCTTTTTTTTCTTCAATTTCAACGCCCTGTATCTCAGGAACTAAGCAACTCCGGACATATGTTCATAAGAACTTTCCTTCTCAAAATGACCTAACAAATCACCCCCTGCAGTTAGGAATCACCCTGTATAATCAAGGCCAATATACAGTGTGTCCCACTTACCATGCTCACCATGGGTATCTTTCTAACAGTGAGAGATACGAGGTCGGTTAAATGACACCAAATGTGGGGTTTGTCAAGGCCAACTATAATGTGAAATAATATTTTGATAAAATCTATTCGTTTTTGTTTTATACGCAAAAAACAGATTTTGATCATTTTCATGTCTCCTCCGTAACTTCTTTATTAATGAAAATATTCAAATAGGAATTTCACATTCTTATGGCAGTTTTCAAAGTGATTTCGAAAAAAATATGAAATTCATACCAACTCTTCTAGAATTTGAGATATCAGCACCAACTTTAGTTTTTCAAATGTAGGTCATAGCTCACTATGACTTAGTTACAAATAACTTTTTTTTATCTTACAGATGACATGTCGCAGTGATAGTTTTGTGTTGATAACAACGGAGTTATCGTCATTTATACAAAAACAAAAAATTATTTGGAAGCCGCCATCTTGAATTTTCAAATCTCAACAAGGAAATCATGATCTCCGACCTCAGAAACCCCCACTCACCAATTTTGAATGGAATCGGACCAAATCTTGTCCGCCATTTTGGAGCAGCCATTTTTTTTTTAATTTCAACAAAAATTCCATAGCTCCGATTGACTTGAAATTTGGCATTTGTTCATAATTTCGGTGACAAAACATTATGGAATTTTTGTTGAAATAAAAAAAATGGCTGCTCAAAGATGGCGAACAAGATTTGGTCCGATTCCATTCAAAATTGGTAAGTGGGGGTTCTTGAGGTCAAAAATCATGATTTTTTTGTTAAAATTTATAAATTCGAGATGACGGCTTCCAAATATTTTTTTGTTTTTGTATAAATGACGATAACTCCTTTGTTATCAACACAAAACTATTACTGCGACATATCATCTGTAAGAGAAAAAAAAGTTATTTAGTAACTAAGTCATAGTGAGCTATGACCTTCATTTGAAAACTGAAGTTGGTACTGATATCTCAAATTCTAGAAGAGTTGGTATAAATTTCATATTTTTATCGAAATCACTTTGAAAAACTGCCATGAAAATGTGAAATTCCAAATAGAATATTTTCATAAATAAAGAAGTTACGGAGGTTACATGAAAATGATCAAAATCTGTTTTTTGCGTATAAAACAAAAACGAATAGATTTTATCGAAATATTTTTTCACATTATAGTTAGCCTTGACAAACTCCACATTTGGTGTCATTTAACCGACCTCGTATCTCTCACCGTTAAAAAGATACCCATGGTGAGCATGGTAAGTGGGACACACTGAATATTGGAAAAGAAGTGTTAAAGACACTATTCGTCGTAGGAGTATGTAGGTACAGTTCCTCATGACTCACCCTGTATTTGGCACAAGTCATTGAATAAATCATTTCTGTTCTGTTGAAGGTTCCTGCAAGTGCCTCAGATACCTAGACGAAGGCCAGACATTACATCTTTCATCCACAAACCCCTAGAGCACTATAGAGAAGTGCTGAGATTGCTGACTGCAATTCAAAGTAACACCAAACCGGGTCATAATGAGTTGCCTGTGATAAACCAAATTATACATGACCTACAGGTAACGTCAAGTTTCAATCCTGGAAATTGCTCGAAATAATATTATTCTTCTGATATACAGGGTGTCCGGAAAAATGTAGGAAATCTCTTGAATTATTCGTCAGATAGTACCTGAACAAATGAAATGGCATGTTTCTATCATATACGTATTAATAATCAATACGGATAATCTCTATCTGTTTCCATAGCGAAACATGAAGCCGATTTTTGAAGACAAATGACTATCCATAAGGAAAAGTTTTGAAACGATCAGACACATACTGCTTTGATTGAAAGGCTAGTAAACGTTATTGTCCACCGAAACGCATGTCTTTGATGACTACTATAATAGCGCATGGCGCATGCGTATCATGTCACCAAATCCTTATGGATATTCATTTGTTTCATATTTTTGGCTTCATCCTGGCACCCGTTATGATCCGTATTGTTTATTAATACGTATATGGTTTCTAAATGAATATTAGTCGTAACCCGCTGCTTCGTTTTCGAGATGCAGGGCATTGAAATTAGAAATTATCGTGAAATTGTTTTCATACACACCCTGTATGAGCTATCGATACGGCAAAAATTAGTGTGTCATGTGACTGAGATGGTGCCGTCATTCCGGTATTATATCTATCATGGTTATTCACAATCCTGTAACGGATATCTTCAATGAACAATCCGACCTCTACACCAAAATTTGTAGTCAAGTTTGGTTTTCACTGGAAAACGGCCGTGCGCCTCCTATCGAGTTGTAACAGAAGGGAATTTTTCCAATAAAGCTGATCATTCTTCTATATTTGATTTGCCCTAACGACGCCACTGGTATTCACATCAATTGAAAAATACCACAAACGTGTTTGCTTACTGATACTCAGTATATCACCAGAATATCTCGTAATTCAATTTTGTTCGGTGGTATTCTATTGAATTGGGATTTTTTCCGGACACCCTGTTAAATCAATTATTATCAAATGAATTATTCATGAACATAAAAACCAATCCATTGATTCATTCGTTTATCAATATACAGGGTGTTTGTTTCCTTACTGCGGTACGAAACTTCACAGGGTTATTCGTTAGTTCATTTTGAGAAAAACAGTTCTCTTGGACCTATGTCTGGAGTTGTTGCCTTTCTGAGATACAGGGCGTTAAATTTTAACAAAAAGAACGGTATCCATTAAATATCCATCCTAATTTGGTTGGCGAATATTTGAAACGATAAGGCGCTTATTTAATCTCAACTATATAAACATTATTAGGTCTAGTAGCGTCTCAGTGAGCACCATAGCCAATAATATTGATAAAAACAATTGAAAATACAATTTTTTGTTGTCTGCTATTTTCTACATAAAGCTAGCTTCGTTATCGAGAAAAAAAGCTATATTTGTATAACAAGGAAGGAAAGTGCTATTTTTCCTCTCGAGGATGAGGGAGGGAAAGACACTTTACCCCCATGTTATACATATGATTTTTCCGCCTCCCTCAAATAAAGTTATTTTCAAATAATCAATTCATGTAACTAACAAACGGAATTTACTAAAGAAATCAAACTGAGAACTAATAATGAATAGATTCGGCACAAAAAAATCCTGAAACTTTTTCGCTAGATCCTAGATGTGATATATTGATGTAATCATCGCTAGATCGCAAATGTGATACTATATTGACAATTTTAGAACAATTGATGGAATCAGCTCTTCAGGGAGAATCTGAAAATGCAATGAAATACATCAGGGTATTCCAACATTGATACATTTCGTGTTTTTGACACACCCTGTACAACATGATCATATTTCATAGATGAAAACCCAAAGTCATCTCCACAACTTTTATTTAATGATCCTAGATCATATAAAGGACCATGTTTCGGGCTTATATAAGCCCATCATCAGGCAAGAAAATGTAAAGTTCTAGAAAAGACAGATTTTGACCTATGGTATGATACAATAATATTTTACTTACATGGAAGGGAAAAATGTTGCAATGTGTATAAAATAAGCAATAACGGAGCAAGCAAAGGCCATTGCTCCATGATCTGGAAAAGGAACAGTGAAAATTTTCGAAGAAATATCAATATGAGCGAAACTTACTGTTTATATAATAAAAATGTTTTTTAAACATTTTTTAAAAAAGTTGAAGGTTTAGGGGTCGGGAACATATTTAATAAGGGCCCACGGTACCCTTAAATCGCCGATAAGTGGTAATTAAACTTGAAAATATCAATATTTTATAATAAGAAAGATGTCGCTTCGGAAATAACCAAGAAAAGAATCACGTGTGATACTGAACAGTAAAATTGTATGCTGTCAACTGTCAATGTCAATGATCATATTTCCAAAATGTATCGCTGACTCGAAGTAGGTCCCTGTTCATAAAAAAAGGTAAAAAACCAAATGCTTCAGCCGTAATGCTTCGTATGGAATAACGTGAATAACCCTGTATAATACAATATTGTACAGGTCGTCACTGCCGTATAAGTTATTTCTTTGATGACGTACCAGTACGAGGAGGAAAAGTACTTTTTCTCCCTAGGGAGGAAACGTACGAATTTGCTCCCTACAATAAGGTAAGGAAATCTTGAATAGAGATAGGCGGAAAAATGATATCTTTGATCGAGTAATTGAATTTGACTGAATCACTTGAGGAGCGTTTTAGAAGGCAACGGAGTTAAAATCTGTAACACCCTGCATCTCAGAAACGACCCAACTCCAGACATATGTTTTTACGAAGTTTTTTCCTTAAAAGAACGAGTTACCCTCTGACGTTTCATATCTAAGTAAAAAGACACCCTGTATTCATGCCTATATTATTTTTTCAGTTAACTTATAGGGAAATTACTTCTGAAGCTGGACTGATGGAGCCTTTAGGAGAAGGAAGGCCCCTTTTAACAGTACAAGACTTAGAAAATAGATTAGTTTTTACAAAATGTAAGGTGAGCTGTTGACAATCATTCGAAATTGATAATACACTCACCAGGAAAAAAACTGGCCACCAAAAAATTTTGCAAAATTGTTCGTCCTATTTCTCTGTTGTATCGTATTTTTGTGTTTCGGAATGTTAGGCTGAATATTGAGGCCTAATGAGAGCTGATAGCTTGATCATTATTCAGGGAAAAATGTTTTTATCATTTCACCAACCAACCACATCTTGTCAAATGAAATACAACGCAAAACAACACTTGAAAAAAACAGTACTTACATTACAACGTCTAGCATGGGGTTGACCAACAGGATTAAAGTCGGGGAGATGGCGAAAATTATAATTGATAATTACTAATTGTATTAATAATAATAATGCCTCATCGACTCGGGTACTATTTATATTCGGAATCGATGCTAGGTTTGCAATTTTCCGCAATGAGAATGGCCATTACCTTTCGATATTGCTTACTTAGGTATTATCGCACGGTACGCGGTTTTGCAAATTCTACAAGAACGGAAGTCTATGAACTCCGCTGACCTGATCTAAACTACAATGTACTGAATGTTTTAATTTGGAAAAGTTAATTTATGATAGAAGATCTTGAAATTAACGCAAGTTTGAGTGATGTTATTCCATAGGCATTTGTTCCTCTAGACAATATAACTCAAAATTTCCAAATTCCGAGTTATACCTCAGAATTTTGAAGAGTTTATATTTATTTTTATTTAAGCTGTCCCTTCCAGGGCTTCGTAGTTTCCTACGTTATTGACTACAGGTCTGCTTTCTGTTTGTTTTTTTAACTAAGGATTTTTAAAGAAAATGAGGTAGAAATAAGTGATATTGATTTTTTAAGTTGTTGATCAATAAGTTCATGTAAGTTCTAACTACTGTTAATAAGCTTTTGGGTGTATTGAGAATTCGCATTCTCTATGTGATGAGAATATTTACTCTTTCTCAGGATGATGTGTGCATATACATATTTTTGTCTGAAGGAGAATGCAGATTCTCAATTTCAGAAGTTGTTATATTTTATTTTCAAACTCTTATCGTGTGTGTTCAATAGATATAATTCAATGTTCGTCGTGGCATATAGCCAGGAAAGTAGTTGTTTTCTATTGAATCAACTGAGAAAGAGTAAATATTCTCATCACATAGAGAATGCGAATTCTCAATGTATTGCTTTATATAAATATATATCCATTTTTGTATGTTCATAATTTATCTGTGAATATTCCTTTTCAACACTGTTAATAAGAATTGAAAAATGCAATACTTTCTTAAAATACTCGTATCTTCTCTTAAAAATGAGATATTGAAGTGAATCAAGAACTATTGTATTCAAAATGGATCACACTACAATCCAGAGTTTGATAAAGCCAAGTTCGACTACTCAATTTTGCTACAGGGCGTTAAGAAGTAAAGGATGAAATAGTAACTTCCCTGTATGATGATCAAGTCATCAGCTTATCACGCAAACTAATATTTAGGCTAACATTCCGGAACATGAATCTACGATTTGATCGAATTTTCACAAAAATCGGACATGGATTGAAGTAGTTACAGGGTGAACAATTTGGGAAAATTTTTCGGTGGCCAGTTTTTTTTTGCTGGTGAGTGTATAAAAGTAGTTCGATAAAATTTTCATCATCACAAAAGTGCGAAATTACTCTGTTTGTTTTAGCCCTTCGTACTGAACAAACCTGGTAGACAATGGATATTCGGTGGCGACCTCAGCAGGATAGAAGGGAGAAACGTCAGACAGTATTGGACTTTGCTCTTCAGCGATCTTCTTCTGTTTGCCAAAGCCTCCCGAGATCGTGTTCTGTTCGTCACCGAGGATCCCCTACCTCTAGCTCATGTGCAGGACGTTTTTTTCAATGTTAGGAAAAAAGGTGAATATACAGTGTGTCCACCTGAAGGACTTACAACCCCCGTTGAATCGTTATTATCTGACCGATTTCGAAAAAAAATTTTTTGGATATATATTTGAAATATACGATGTGTATGAGAACAAATTAACAAAACAGAAAGAGGTAGACAATATTTTATCATCAATGAGAAATAAAATGATTTGATTTTTGGAAATCCTGTGATTTTTGATGATGAAAATCCGAACAGGTATGTTTCAAGTGATCCTGATTCATCTTTTTATTTTGAGTAACGAATTATCATGATAAAAAAATATTGCTTACTATTCTTTTTTATTTTATTTTCTCAGACACATTGTATATTAGAATGATGAAAACTGGTACAGATATATGTATGACGTAATCTTCGATGATAATTCTTCATTAGTTCTTCCCAAAAATACTATAGTAGTACATTTTTGATCACCTATATTCAAAAATAATGATAATTCTTTTTTTCGAACACCCTCTGTTTTATGATGATGAAAATCGGTACAGGTATGTTCAAGTGATCCTGATTCAGAATCCATCTTCATTTTTCGTGAAAAAATCCCTAATAGTTTATTGTTTATTCAAAAACTAGCTTCCAGTCAGAAATAAAATTCTGGTATGAGGAAGTTGATTACAAACAACAATAATAAAATAATATAAGGTGACAACAACAACAATAAAAATCTAAAAAATCAAAAAAAAACTAAAAATGCTATCGATCAAGTCATAAAAATAACCACAGGGACTAATCAGTAGATGGCAAAGTATAAATTTTATCTATTTCGTAATGAAATCATGTGTTTTTTGAAATATGTCTGCAATTTTTTATATTATGTGGTAATTTATTAAATTCAGCTAGAGCAGCGTGAGTAAATTTTTTTTGGCCAATTATAGAAGTTGCAGAATCAAGATGAAATAAGTTTGATTGTCTCGTGTGATGACCATGAATTTCTGAGTTTCTTATCAAAATAAAATTGGAGTTCAGATTATTGTTTATTATATTATATGAAACTTTAAGAGAATCTATTTTATATAATTCATCCGATGAAAATTTTTCTGTTATGGCATACAGATCATGTGTTGGGATATCAAATGAGAGGCGATACAATACTTTCAGTGCTTTCTTATAAAGTGCAGATATTTTACTGAAATAAATTTTTGAACAAGATCCCCAAACGTTTATCATATAGGTAATACGACTGAGTATATGAGAATGAAGTACTATGTTTATGACTTTTTTGTCAAGTTTAGGACATCTTCGCAAAGCTCCAATGATCGGAGATATTTTTTGTATCAGAACCTCTATATCCTTGTCCCATTTCAATTTTTCATCAATCCACATACCAAGATACTTTATTTGTGTAGTTCTTTTCAATACTTTATTTTTAATTTGGAGATTGAAACTAATATTCTGTTCATTTTTTTGATGGAATATTATATATTCAGTTTTATTGGTATTAATTGATAAAATGTTTGAATGAAGCCATTTTTCAAATGTGGGTCAATAAAATTGGTCGCAGTTGGCCATGATAACAGTCCAAGAATAAAATCACTCTCTCGTTGGATGGACATTTCAAATACCTTTCCAACAATCGATCAGATAATAACGATTTCACATATACGAACAAAAAAAACCTCGAAGAAAATTTACAAACTCAATCTTTTTGAGTTCAGACCTGAAACTCTGACGACTCTGATTTTCCATTTAGATACTGAATTTAGGATAACAGTGAATCCCGAAGGGAAGGGCGCGAAGAGCCCTACAGTCCACTGCGGTCCTGATCTCAGCAGGACTCCCAGGAAGAATGCCAACAAAAAAACTGTGATTTTGAGAGCTCCCAATCCCGAACTGAAAGCTGTTTGGCAAAACTTGCTACAACGACAAATGTGAGTAGTGTGAATTAGGAGATAACTTTAAACGTTGGTCAACTATTTAATAGTAATTTCTAAGTATCTTTACATGTGAAGATATATCGTCAATAGTTATAGGTGATAGAACAGTTCAAAAAGCTAGATAGACTTCATAAAGGTCGAGTCAGTTTCAATAAAGCACCATTCTATTTCGAATAATATAATCTCATAAAAAAAATAGTGAAGGAATAATAATTGTTTCTTTTTTTAACAGACAACACTTTCACTTTTCTGACTAATATATCATCATGCTTACTACTTGAATCATGCAGGATAGCTATTAGAATCTAAGAATGAAATGATTGATACAAAGAATTATCATTATCTTTGAGATTTGAATTAACTTAATGTAAATTAAAATCGAAACCAAAAATACGATCCTTACGTTGGTTTCGAGATCTGCTGCAAATAAGAAATGGAATACATTTTGAGGAATAGATATGACCAGATGAAGTCATAAGACCAGTAATGTCAAAAAACCTACATTTCTTGATGAATACATTCTTAATGAAGAAATGAGTAAGCAATATTATTAGCATTATAACTATTAGTATTGATCCATCCTGAATCATCAATGTGTGTGTAGAATGTGTGTATCATTTATGTATTCATTCACTGAAAAGTTTCATGAAATATCAATCAAAATAGTCATTCCATAGTGAGATCTCATTTTTGATATTTGGAATAGAGTCAAAGGTACCTGCTTCAAAAAATTTCAGAATCAGAATTAGTTCCAGAGGCTGACTCTTACTGTACATAACTCTATAAATATTGTATAGTATCAGTCTATTCTGAATATCAATGTTGAATGATTCTTATATAATACTAGAAAAATTAGAATAGACACTAATTACTTAGCTGAGCATGTAGCTAGAATTATAAATAATTTTTCGAATTTTGGTAGAGTTAATTTACTGAGTGGGTCAAGTTCATGACTTATAAGATAAAATGAATCCTACCATCGTTATGGCGATTTCGTATTAAAAACCAATGAAATTAAAATCAAATGCATTTCAAGTTCTATCCTACAAATATATTCAAAGTTTTATCCCAGAAATATATTTAAAGTTCTATCCTACAAATATATTTACAAAGAGTATGAAAAGTATCTATGTTTTATGTTTGCAGAAATACCTACTACAATTGAAACACCTTTGTATGTAAACTCATTCTTTTTTTACCATTAAATTATTCATGCCATCCATTTCTCACAAGATGTGAACTTTATTGCTAGATATTTGCAATTGTGAATGCTTCGGGCCAGGAGCTATTTCACTTCCAGTCAGCTGCTTATGATCTATAAGGCACAGATCCGACCAGTCCTGGAATACTGTTCCCATATTTGGAGTGCAGCACCCAAACATACCCTGAAACTGTTGGATTCTGTCCAAAAAAGAGCAATTCGTCTCGTGGGTGATGCCTCGCTCACAAACTCACTCACTTCTCTGGAACACCGTAGAAAAGTTGGCGATCTGGCTCTATTTCATAGATATTTTCATAGACGATGCTCTTCTGAAATATCAACAATTGTTCCTCCCTTGGCAGTCCCCACGAGATTAATCCGTCGAGTTGAGGCTTCGCACCCCTTCGTGGTCACTTTGGAGACCTGCAGAACATCTCTTTCCAAAGACTCGTTCATTCAACGACCAGCGAGGCTCTGGAACACATTGCCAAGGAAGGTGTTCCCCGAGGCATATAACCTCCAGAAATTTAAGAAAAATACCAATTCCTACCTTATTTCCCTTGGTTCTCACGATGTTCTATGGACATTACAGGATATCCCTTTTCGTGGGAACCAGAACATAAAAAAAAATCCTAGCTGAAATTACTACCAATGTCACCATTTCATTCCACCGACAAGGTATCACTGGCAGAATATAAAGTCTCAAGTAAAAGTCTGTTCAACTAATATAAAACAGATACTAATGATAAGCTCTACACCTTTTCCAATCGTAATTCAGAAAGTGTAAGATTTAATTCTGAAAGTATAAGCTGTAATTCAGAACAGTTAATTGTAAGTCAGAAGGTATAACTTGAAATTGAGATCAGTTAATTGTAATTCGTTATATGTAATTCAGATTAGTGAAATGTTATTCAGAAAGTTTAACTTGTAATTCAGAATAGTGAGATGTAATTCAGATACCGTCAATTGTAATTCAGAAAGCATAACTTGTAATTCAGGAACTAGGAACAACCATTATATGCATCCATTCTCCTTGAGACTTCGACATAAATCAAGTTACCAACAATCAAAGCCATGTTGTCATAGAAAGTAACTCGAAACATCAAATGAATGTCAAATAAGTTGTACAACACACCATGCTGCAGCTCTGGCATTTCAAGATATGCTCGTTTGCCGATAAATTCATATAAGATATTCACCACACAATAAATTCGTTGATTTCTATTCCCTACTATTATTTAAGTCCATAGTATTTAATACGTCCATGGTATTTATGAATTACAAGTGATGCTTTCTGAATCACAAATTACGCTTTATGAATTACAATTGACTATTCTGAATTACAAGTTACACTTTCTGAATTACAATTGAAAAAGGTGTAGTGCTGTGTACTCAGCACAATCTTATCACTAACTAGTAACCTCATCCTCACTGAGATGTCAGTACTTCCATCTCGTCGACTAAATATCGTTGAACGACTACAAAGTGTCAACTAGAAAGTATACTCAGCGTGTCAGGGTGCTCAAAGACAAAGTACGATTGATGGATGAACTCTGGCTCTGGTACTTGCACTTTCATATCACAAACTAGAAACTACCTAATATCGATGTATTTTCCACGTTACTAGAGTGGGTGAGGATTCATTCCTCTTTAATGCAACCACATCAATATAAATATCGAATGACGCGATTCAAAACTACATTTGACCACTCAGAAAATTAACTTTAGTCTCGTTATTGCGCACGCAGCTTCATCTCCAACTCAGGCATGGACGGCAGCTCTTTTAGCTCTCCGGTAGATTCCCCGGACGCCCCTGCGACCCTATCGGCCGGAACCCTACATTCTACAGAGTCTCTGCGGCCTCAGGTGCGTCAATCCGACCCCCTATCGCCCCTACCACCCCTACAATCCCTACAACCTCTACAACCCCTACCACCCCTACAATCCCTACAACCCCTACCCCTACGGACATTCCTAGAGCGAACGCCCGATACCCCTAGCGCGAACCTATCTTCGTCCGAGTCTGAGTCGGAGCCTTCTCAGGCTTCTCAGGCTTTCACCTCTCGGTTCGATTCCGACGGTAGCCTGGCGTGTCATAATATGGGGGTTTGTTCGTATACTGACGGGTTTAGCGATGCTACTAGTTGTTTTAGGCTGGGGGATGAGCCTTGGGATCAGTCGCAGTTCGATTATGATATGAGTTGTTTGAATATTGATGGGTTGTCTCAGAAAAGCGGTAGTTGAAAATTCCAGAATTTTAATTTTTTTTTATTCTTACCCTTCAGAAAAAATTATGTACGCCCTTGAGTCAACGTACGTCGACTTTATTTGAAATCACTGTCAGGAAAAAAATGAGTGCTCCCGTAAGTACAAAAATTCCTTTTTTTTGCTGGTGTTGAAAGAATTCCGAAATTTTGTTCCTGAAATTGCAATCTTATGTCATTTCACATGGTTTCAGGAATTTCTAACTTGACATTTCGATATTTTCGTTAATTTTCTAACTCCTGAGAAAGATTGTACAAGGTATTTGATTTCAACTTTCATTTTATAGACCGCAAATTCTCTTTTGTCTCAATTTCACCATCAGTCATAAAATTCTGAGTACTCTCCTGAGCTCTCGTGATTTCGGTTCTTCAATCTTCATTGATATATATTTCGGGTGACTCACTTGAGATGATTAACCCTAGATACCTCTTGATCAAATACTCGAATAAAAGAAGAAGAAGAACACGTCAAATATAATTTGTAAATGTTGTAAATGGTTTTTCTAAGATACATTTGTCTCGGAAAACATCTTAGAAAATATTATACCCTTATGAATGGAATTCTACGTGCTCCATATTTTTTTTATTCCAGCATTTAATCAAAAGTTATCCATTGAATTCATAAGAGAATTGAAGTTTTGATTTCTTTTTTGGAATCGAAGAAAATCCAAAAATCTCAAAATCTCAAAATTCAGACAATTCTCATTTTTTACTACCTTAGAAAAATATGTCCATGAACATTTGAAAGTTTTTTATTTTCAACCTGCCTAAAAAAACTGGCACGTCACTGGAGCTGTGTGATTTCAATCTTCTATCAACGTCTACGTCATAGATATTTCTGAGAATTAACCTTTTGATTTTCGGATACTCCTCCAAAAATACTCAGTACATACACATCCTGGAGCCCTAATTCGAATTTTCTTCATGTCTGAGAAATTTCGAAATTTCTACCATACCTGACATTCCTATCCCTCTTTAACTTCATAGGACGATTCAAGGTGCGTTTATACAGCAATTAAAATAAAATAAGGAATACGATATAGTTATTTATGCAACAAGTGGAAAAAGTGAATGTACGTCGAGTGCAATAAACAATTTTTGCACGAGTTGCATACAACATTTTTTCTACGTTCATGCGAAAAGCAAAAAATGATTTATTGAGGTGCGGCAACTAGGTACAATTCTGTTAATTGTCAGAATTAATTTTTGACTGACGTTTCTAAAACCATGTTTGTCATGATGACAGCACGTTGAAGTAGAATGACAGATGAGTGCAATAAAAACTTTATTGCACCAAGTACAATAAAGAACTTCTTTTTTCACTAAATATAGTTCAATAAAGTTCTGCTTTTTGCATGAATGTAGAAAAAGATAATTTAAGGAATAAGGAATAAAATCCACTGTTTTATATACAGTTAACTAGAATGAAATAATGATTGAGGAATCAACCAATCCAATCACGGCATTGATGACAATGACGTTTCATGTTCTATGGCAATTCTGTGACAGAGTTGATTTGGGTCATGTGCCATGCGCATTATCATTTTCGGAATGGAATAAAATGAAATAAAAAGATAAATATAGCTGGAAACTTTTTATTTTATTCTTATTCTTAACTCATTTCCTGTATGAACAGTTCCATGAAAATACCCATGTTGAACTTTCTTATTTTATTCTATTTTTATTCCTTATTTTGTTCTATTTGCTGTATGAACTGACCCTCAGTCTCAGCCAGTATTGATGTTTGAAAAGCATGTTTAGAATAGAAAAAAATACTCAGGAGTATAGAGACTAGAGATTTGATCTAAATAAATGTAAATTACCTGGCAGCAAGTTTGGACAAATCTCAGTAAAGTGCCACCAGAAAAGTAGGAAACATGGATTTCCTTCTCACACCAAACCGACTGCCCCTCTCATATATTTATGTACAATGAATTGATCTAGTAACGCACCATCGGCTAGTGACGTTATATACAGGGTGTCCCAGAATAACATTCGTTTACTATCTGCGAGGTGACTGCAGATGAAAATAGGAAGTTTTACAGCATTCCAACAGGAATACCTCTCTCATATAAAAGTGTTTGGTACCAAATTTCGTGATTCTACTCAGCGAGCACAAAAAACATCTCAGAGATGTTAAAAGTACGAGATTTCGAGACATTGAACCTCCACTGCGATGTTCTGTTCACACATGAATAGAAGTACCATAGAACAGCCAATGTCCGCCGCAGGCGGCAATTATCGAGATGTCCTTGATATGTCACAAAACTACCTTCTCCCTAGTTCTTTTTAAAGCCTTTTCATGGACACAACAGAACATTTTCAACGCGTCTTGCGCACATTAAATCGCTGTAAAAAAAACATTTTCGAGGTACTTTTCTGAAGCCTTTTGTCAAAATGAACTTTTGCATTAGGATTCCATTTCCCTTGAATGAAAAAATCTATTAAAAATAGATTGAACATAAAAATATTTTCTTGATATGAAATTACTTTCTCAATCGGTTTCTGAGTAGTGCTTACTACACACAGACATATAATTGGAAAAAGGTTTCCCAATTTTTGAAATGTTCTCCACAATGCATGATTTTGCAACTGCGGAGAAGCTGTGTATTGATGAATTCGTACTTTTATATATTGATTACACTGAGGCACCGAACAACACATCTTGCATCTGATGGTCATTATTACAAACTAAATAAGTCTTCTAACACAATAAACTTCACCAAATTCCTTTCCGTTCGTTAGCAGCGTGATGTAAGCGTGACACGCTGCAAACGCGAATGCCATTTGCGAACAAGAAGAACGAAATCGAAGACAAATCAGAATTCATCGTATTGTGACGTAAGCATGAGACGTTGTGGTGGGGCAAACAAAGATAGGGCACAAAAGAACAAAAACAATACTTTTAATATCCTTCTAAGACCTCTTTGGGAAGTGCATATTACGCCTCAAAAAAACATCCTCATGCCTACATTTCTAAAACATCCCAAAACATCCCAGGGATACCTCTCAGTAGGCAAACAAAGAAATGCCACAGAAGAACAAAAACAATACTTCAATATCCTTCAAAGACCTCTTTGGTCAGTGCATAATACGTCTCAAAATAACATCTTCATGCCAACATTTTCAAAACTCGTGCTCGCTGGGTAGGATCAATGAAAATAAAGAAAGTTGAAGAAAACTGCATTGTGGGGTTAGTTTTCAAATCTGCCAGCGGCATTAAAAAATCGACTTGAATATTTCTCATTCGCTGACGAAACTCAATAAGGAAAACAGAATTTTTCTCAGGTAATTGATAAGAAGTAATACATGTCATAAAATGATTTCTGGGGGAAAGTGCATTCATATGGATAAAATTTGTAAAAGAAAAAATCACAAGTGTGACATAGTTTTATTGTTATTAATTCTTTTTATAGGAATGAAAAAGCATTAATAACTTTTGAACCATCAATAATTGGATGACCACATACATTATACAGAGCATCAACTTTTCAGTTTCATCTGTTGCTTATTGGATTACCAGAAACGTCTAATCATGCCTCATCGTGAAAAACCCTGTATATATAGCTCTTCAGATAAAAAAAAAATCAAAAATCTCAATAATTTTCTTGAATTAGAAGATTCTTCCATTTTCATCTCCTCCAAATGATGACTTTACCTCAATAATTTTCGTTCACATTTTTTTTTATAAATAATTCAGTCTTGGACCAGTTACAAACAATAATTTAATGACCAATTTGGCTTTGTTCTTGCTTCCATAGCATAGAGACAGTGCGTTATTAGATCGACTATAAATGTACCAAACCCAATATGATTTATGTACATTCGAATCAACTTAGTTTAATAGTTTTTATTTTGTTAAATCTCAGATAATTTATATTGTTAAGAAGAGACATGTAATTTATATATTTACAAATAAAGGTTTAGTTATTACATATTGTTTTTTAATGACCTATTTGCTTTGGCTATCAAATGTTTTTGGAACAAAATACAAAATTTGTTCATTCACAATCCATAACAAAAGGGGATGAGTTCTTTCCCTTTACGATTAATAATACCTACTGATAGTTTTTCATCTTGTGATAGACATCCAAATAGATCTATTTTTTCAACTTCAGAATGAATCCACTTTACAGAATATGATAAAAAAAATCGTAAAATTCAATAAAATCAACAAAATTTCATTCAGTACTCTTGCCCATGATGGAAAAAAGTATTAACTTTCAAAGTGAATTCTCCCGTTGTGTGTGATTGATCATTGACAGTTAGTTTCAAGTGGAGTTTTTTCTTTTGAATAGGTAAGACAAGATCGAACTAAGTACATTAGGAACAAAATACCCTAGACAAAAATTTATATGTTCGTAGATGAGGAATAATTGTATGTTAGTAGTTGTGGATAAATTGTATATTGTTCCAAAAACGGCCATAGCCCCACATACGGCCTTAATAATTCGACTTTTTCAGCCTCCCAACCTGACACGAAACTGTCAAAATGACTGTCCCGATAAGAACGAGATCCAGAAACATATAGACGCCATGATAGATTTGAAGTGCAAACAGCTCGATCACACCGAATTCAACGACAAATACAACTCGGTGCATTTGGAGCAATGGATGAAGGGGGAATTAAACGCCGAAACGATGGTGAGTAGCACTAAATAACTAATTTTAGGAAGAAGTATTTATTTTATTTATTTATTTATTTATTTATTGAACAAATAACTTCCAGACAGAATAGGCTCTGGTATAAGGAAGTACATAATTATATACCTATAGGTAAACAAAGCATCATTCAAAATATATCAACAACTGTAAATTGGCAAAAAAAAAATGGTATGATTAATTTTATCCGGTCCGCTCAGAAATAATCAGTTTTTTCCCTTCATTTTCGAATATACCTATAATTCTGCAATTTTTTTTATATTATCAGGTAGTTTATTGAATTCAGTTAAGGCTGAATGAGTGAATCTTTTTTGCCCGATTAGGGAGCTAGCGGCGTCAAGATGAAACAAGTTATATTGTCTAGTTTCATGATTATGAATTTCAAAATTCCGTATCAAACTGATATTCGACATCAATTTCTTATTTATGATATTATATGATATTTTAAGAGTTTCAATTCTATATATTTCATCTAAAGAATACGTATTTGTTATTTCATACAATTGATTGGTTGGTGTATCAAATGGGAGACGATACAATACTTTTAACGATTTTCTATATAATGTTGATATTTTATTGAAATTATTTTTTGAACAAGATCCCCAAACATTCATTAAATAGTTGATACGACTCAGTATATGAGAGTAGAGAATCATGTTTGCAATTTTAATATCAAGTTTGGGACATCTTCCCAATGCACCAATAATTGGAGATATCTTTTTTGTCAGAACATCAATATGTTTGTCCCACTTCAACCTGTCATCAAACCAAATACCAAGATATTTTATCTGGTCAGTTTGTTTCAAGAGTTCATTTTTTATTAGATATCATGGAACACTTCTTGCTTGATATTGTATGGTATTTCCAAAAATGCCGATGACTTCCGAAAACATTATATACAGGGTGTTTCATGAGAAGACTCACATAGCCGAATGGTTAATAGGGAAAATCAAGACCAATTGATGTATATAAATGAAAACATTTTTTGACCCTCCATAACGAAGATTATGTGAAATTGCTATATAACTTTGATGGCCGATATTACAGAAATGATTCCCCGTTATCTGCTGAAATTTGGCAGCGACGTATCTCGACTAAAACTATTCAAGATAACATATTATGAAAAAAAATATCCAAGTCCGGAGTTGGGAAAATTTCATGTTTCATTGTTATGTCAAGAAAGTTCACTTTGTGACCACTTTTCTCGAAAAATTCCATGAGATTCAGAAAGATCCGACAAAATGCTATAAGAACTGCTCTTCAATTTACACGGCACACTTTGACCGGTTCAATAAAAAAATAAGGAACAAAATCGTTCGAATGAATTTTCAATTTTGACCTGGCTGATAACTCTCAACTTTCAACTGGATTCGTGTAAATTGATTTTTTTGTACATTTTTATTGGATAGAAATTGACAGAAGAGAGTAGTTCTAATTTTTTAATGATTTGGCATGTCAGTTTTTGACCAAACTTCTAGATAGATATATGGTTACTCGTGACTCTATTTCATTAATTTGTTATAAAGTAGGCCCTGTTTTTATTTTATGTGACGTGGCGTTTATTGATAGGAAAACACTGGTATTCGAAATATTCTAGCTCTCTAGGTGTCACTTTATATTTCAAATGCTGAATAAGACGAAAATCCAAATGCTTTGCTATGTTTAATACCATAGAAAATTTCCAGACCCAAAAATACGTTGCAGTAAAACTTCCACGAGGATGAACATTAGGAATTTCGAATAAATTGCGAATGCATCTTTATATCACTTGCAGAACTGTATCAATAACATAAAATGGAGCTAAGTTTATGCGTGATGGCATAACTAATTTGATAAATCACCATAATATGGGCACATAAATCCTCATGTCGTAATTTCATCAGTTGGTACCTACCTAGTACTAGCCTTATACCTACCTATCGGTTCGGATGATTAACAAACGTCACATCTTGTCACACAAATGGAAAACGGGGCCTACTAGATCTAGATCTTATCACTACTTCAATTGAAACCCATAAAACAAAGTCGGGAATAATAATATCTATCTGGGAGTTCGAAAAAAAAATATCGTGTTTCTTCTTCTCGTCTATTCTTCTGTCAATTACTATTCAACGAGAATTTAGAAAAAATCAATTCACATGATACCAATTGAAAGTTGACAGTGATCAGCCAGGTCGAAATTGAAAATTCATTCGAACGATTTTGTTCCATATTTTTTTATTGAACCGGTCAAAGTGTGCCGTGTAAATTGAAGGGCATTATAGCATTTTGTCTGATCTTTCTGAATCTGATGGAATTTTTCGAGGAAAGTGGTCACAAAGTGAACTTTTTTGACATAACAATGAAACATGAAATTTTCCCAAGTCCGGACCTGGATATATTTTTTTTATAATATGTTATCTTGAATAGTTTCAGTAGAGATACGTCGCTGCCAAATTTCAGCAGATAACGATGAATCATTTCTGTAATATCGGCCATCGAAGATATATAGCAATTTCACATAATACCCTGTATCTTCGTTATGGAGGATCAAAAAATGTTCTCATTTATATACATCAATTCGTCTTGATTTTCCCTATTAACGATTTGGCTATGTGAGTCTTCTCATGTCTTTTCATCTTGAAAAAAATGTCTTCTTCAAGCTGTCGAAGTCCTGCTACAAAAAAACGACTCACCATGTTGAAATTATCACCTAAAAAACTAATATCCACCCACCTCTAATCTCAACGTATCCCGCTACAGCCAGCAAGTCCGCCGGACCTGGAACCACTCCTGGAAGACTGGACAGAGGAAATGGTTCGAATGAGGTCCGAGGAGCTGCAGCTGGTCGACGCCGAGGGCAACCTGAAGAGCAAGGGGGACCTCAGAAGGAATGAGGGAACGTGTGAGGAGGCCAGCACGTGTGACCTTGAACACAGTCCGTCCAAAAGCACCACTACGGAAAGCCAAGTGAGTGATCCGCCAATGATATCACAGTTGTCGAATGGGGAAGACCACTTAGAGAAGAAATCCGTGCAAACCTCTTTCGATCGACGAATCATGATTTACGTTTGATGTACAATCAATATTATGAGTTAAAGTTGAAGGGTATCGAATCAATATCATTTTGAAATCAGTATATTTCATATTTCAAACAGCCAAATATGATGGTGGAGTCGTGACGTATTAGTCCCGAACTGTGGCTATCTCTCTCTGATACCTCGTCATTCTGCAGTGTTGCAGTGTGATTGGTCAGTTCAAGGACAATAGGCGTGTTGGGAATAAGACGTCGCACCAGTCACACCAATGAATTGACAATATTTAAAATGGCGCAGGAATGGTGTGTTTTGAAATGGACATATTCTAATTTATTATTTTCATCGTCTTAGCATGAATGACAAATTTCAAAATTAAGTCGCTGGTAGTTTTTCAGTATAGAGTTCACGATAATGTCATTTTAAAAAATCAGTGGTCTCCCCCTTGCACCGATCATTATTAAAAATATTCAGAGCGAGGTTAATTCGAAGAATGTGATGTAAAGTGAAGTAAAATTTATTGATTCTCAAAGACCACTGTAAAAATGTTATAAAACACGTCATAAGTAAGATATAGTTAATTCACATTCAAAATCAACAATTATAAATAAATATCATGTAAGAGAAAATATACAGGGTGGTCCGTTTTTTAATACGGAAAATTCAACAGCGTATAGTACTCGTTGAAATAATAAAAAACTTTCTATGAACATATACTTTTAAACGCTTCGTTTTTGAGATATTGGGTGTCAAAAATACGATTTTGAATATATTTTTTCAATCAAAAGTTAGAAACGGCAGATAAATTAACGGAATATTTCACATATACTAAATTTTCTGAGCTTCATTAGATTAAATAAATATTATTTCTAAAAACTATTCAGTGCCGGCTGAATCTGGAGTGGCGAAGGTAATAATTACACAACTTTTTCGGGTAATTATTTTTCATTCATTTTTCAAGATTCAATGAAAAAATCTCGCTTGTGAGATTTTATAACATTTTTTAGTTAAATAATACTACTTGATATCAATTAAAGAAGTAGGCTATGCTCAGTTGCTCACTGTTCACTGTTTATATGTGCTGTCACTCTGAAAGTTCTGTGAAAGAAATAACAAACTGGAGATATTCCGTGTTTTTATCAAAAAGTGTAATAATTTTATTCCAATTTTGCCGTTTGTCAATATGCCTATGGGATTTAGTTTCTAACTTTTGATTAAAAAACTATATTTATTCTGAAGCGTATTTTTGACATATCTCAAAAACTAACTAGTAAAAATATACTAGCTCGGCAACATTGAAGACAAATAGCAGGATATCCACTGCGGTCTATGGCCTGCTGTGGCTCTTCTAAAACGTAAATGATTGATTTGCCATGGTTACATGATTGGTCTGGTAAACGGCCAATGCTAACTAGATTTAATGCATTACAATGTTTCTTTCATTGGGATCAGAGACATGCATAGGTTTGGTTTTTATTTTACCTTCTGAAACGAAGCTATTAGAAGGAAATCTATAGGAGGGCAAAAAAAGTGTATTTTGATATGCACGCCGCTGAAAATATGTAATTCATTCATGAACTGTAATAGGTCTAAAAGTTAGCTCATTGATATTTTCAAAATTGATGTGGATTTCATCTCAATCGGTTATAGCATTTCTGAGAAATCAAAGAATAATCGATTTTTTAAAGAAACTTGAACACCCTATATCTCGAAAACGAAGCGTTTAAAAGTACATGTTCATAGGAAGTTTATTTATTATTTCAACGAGTACTACACGTTGTTAAATTTTCTGTATCAAAAATCGGACCACCCTGTATATTATCTTGGCTAAAGGTATCTATCTAGCTGACATAAAATTCTTCAGTACTGTACAGATTGATTCACTGATATCACATGGAAATTCGAAATGGGACGAAATTTTAAAAAAGTTTTCATTGAACATATGCCCGAACTTTCTGGCCAAGTATACCGGGTGTCTCAGATAGTACACAAAAATATATACAATTTACCATCAGAACGAGAATGATTATAGTCTCGGACTTCCTGAATTTGAATATTGTCCCAACGTTACACAATCATTGAACATCCAACGAAGCTAATTCCACTGTATTAATAAATTCTACTTATTTCTGAAGGTTACTGTAAGATCGAGCCCTTTGGTACCAGAAACCGTACCAGTTTGTCGACAATGTCACAAGAATTGCCTTAGTAGTAACGGAACAGTGAACAGTGTACAAAATTTCGACGACTGCAATAGCAATAGAGCAAGCGACACTAGGCTAGACAATATGGACAAAGATAAGAATCAGAACAAAGATGACAGCTGGCAAACTTTTTTTCTATTAGGTAAGATCATTTTATTCTCAAACATTTTCATCATAATCCTGAACAAAATAACAACTTGACTGAAGGGTAAAACTCATATGTCTATTAATTCTGAAATGGTCATTTTTCTACGGCTATAACACAAAATTGCTTTTTTCTACGGCTATAATACAAGATTGCTCTTGTTTCACTGTGTTCGATACATCAATTAGGTACTTTGTATGTCATCAATTTTATTTTCGTATCTGATATCACAATGACTCCATTGTGTTATTATTTCATAAAAAAATCATCGCCCATGGAATGTCCAAATTTCAAGCAATGACACAGCTCTGTCTAATAGATGAGCATTACTTGGCACGTATTCAAAACGCCTCGATAACAGGCATAGGCAAGCTTTTAGACCAATCACAACGTTGAGTTTCACGCGTGCGTATTTCGGCTTGAGTTTTTCAATTCAGAATAAATATCAGTTTGAAATGGTTTGAATTTTGAATTATTCAGATTATTCTGGACATTAGAGCCATCATAAACTACTCTCGGAGTTCTGGACCACAAGTGATGGCAGATTTTCATTACGATACGAGCATTGATTTCGAAGTTTCAACTTGCACATGTAACCAAGGAAGAACAGGTTGTATGTGTAAACATATTAGTTGGGTTCGTTGTTTTGTGAACTCTGATAAATCCATCGGAAAGATTAATAATGAGAAAACAAGAAAATAGTATATTATGTAACAAGTGTTATAAATGTCCTTTTAGTAACGAGTAGTTTAAGCACGAGCGGAGCAGAGCGGAGCGAGTGTTTAATAAACGAGTGTCTAGAAGAGTTTATAAACGTGTTACATATGTGGACGGTCATCCACAAAAGATGAGTAATGGTGATGTAAGGATGATGCATATAGGTGACTGTTGGAGTCATTCTGGTGCTAACGTTTGCGGAAAGCAGATCATTATTATTATAGTTATTATTGTTGTACGGAAAGTGCCAGTGCTGTTTGAATATAGTTTGTTGAAATAGTGGGTGTTTCAATAATTGTACCAGCTACCGACTACACATACTATGATTTTTCTACGAACTCCGAAAATTACATCAACATACCTGCAATTCCTGCTAACCTACAAAATAATTCGAAAGGAATAGGAATTGAGAACATAATACATGCAACTGCATGCAACCAGCGAGACACGTATAAGTGATATTGGTTGTAGATGTGTCCAGTCCATTGCTTCCCAGCAAACATTGAACTAGCGGGAGAAGTCCGGCCTAGTGCAGGCTAGTCTGGGAAAGTGACGATGCAGGGGTATTGGTAATGGGCCGATGATTTTCCTATGCCAAGTATCCATCAGTTAAAAATACGATGATGGCCTTGTGATGGTAAGATGTCTGGAACTAATTGAATACTTACGAGATCTGGCCCTTTGCTGGCCAATTTCATGTCCGCTACTCATCCCTCTGGTGGACGTTCTGGGAACGTCTACATCAACAATCAGCTGATCAATATTATATGTGACTAAGATGGCGGACTCTCGTGAGTGGTGATCGTGTACTAGTTTGTTTATGTCGAATCAATGTGGTCCTCTCTTTCCCTGGTGGTTATTTATGATGGCAGGAGTAATTTCTCAATTGATGATAATAGAAGACGGATTCTTTGACTATGATAATATTGAGTAAGTATAAATCTACCTACATAGTGTTTCGGATTTCATTATTAAATGCATGTGTTTGGTATCTCGTAATCTCATATACCTACCTAATGATCATAATAATTATTGGAGTTGGCTATACTTCTCCAGAAGCAATTACCATTTTTAACTCGTTTGTTGCTATCAAGAGCATTCTCAGGTTATGTGAACCTATCTCTATATTGAATAACTGAATAACAATAAGGTTTCAGCTACAGAAATACCTGTGCCAAGAAAATAATGAGAATTGGAAAGCTCCATGTTATCACGTCATCAGACTATATTATCAAGTTATAAACTCAGGCAACTCATAGGACACTAATATAAAACAAATGATGCATTTTATATTTAAGAAGTACCTACCTCACAACGAAGAATCAACTTTGAAGGAATGCTACCCAATAAGATGTAAATACCACATACCAACCAGTAAGCATCAGTCACTCCAAGAAGTTTCATCGTTGAAGAACAGAGAGGTTAAGAAGATATCATTGTGTCATTCATAAAATTGTTTTTGTTGAAATCTGGTATATGTCTCATTCATGATGGGAGGGGTTATATTATGAAATAAAGAGGTACTAAAGCTTTCAAATCCATTGGACCCCTAAAACCCCTACCCCTCCCCTACCTCGACAATATAAACAATGTCGTTAATTGGCCATTACAGTCCCATCATTTATGTATATGCTGGGCTTGCAATGGGAAACTCAATGTGTCGATTATGTTGTACTGGCCTTTTGCCGGGGAACTGAATATGATTGCTGGGTACCCAGCACTGGGACCAGCTGCCGGCCGCAGTGTACTGATATATAGAGTCCCGCATATGGGACCATTTACTGGGCCGCTGATGTCAGGTATGGGAAAAATATATTAGGCCACTGATGCCCCATATCAAAATGTTTGCTGGGTTATTACTAACTTTTGTTTCACGTTTATTGTCATGCTTAGCGCAGAATAAATAAATTGTTCTCAAAGATGGATGCTTCATTTTTACACTTCTTGGAGATATGCAAGTACCAGAACATTCTCTTCGATTTCACTCTCGTCTACTTTTCGCATATATTTTTAATGAAGAATTCTGATACAAACGGAAATTGTTTGAATAATTCTAATACAAAATTCGAAAATAGCAGTTGACAGTTAATACAATTGACAGCAGGCCAGACATGTCTCAAATTACTGAAGCTGTGTTTAATGAACTGCGTTGCCATGGTAATGTGTTTAAGAAATCGTGTTGCCATGGTAACGTGTTTAATATTTTGAATAAATCACAGATCGACAATACGTGATTAATAGATCATTTAGCGTGGTACATATCCGTACGCTAAGTGCCATTTTAGCTATGTGAGTAGAAAAATGTATTTCTGTACTGCCACAGGCAATGTGCCCCCCCCCCAAACTGGCTCAAGCTACTCCCAAATGATAGTAGCACTAGTGGGCAATCATCATCCTTTGGTGGCAATGGAGAAATAATATTATGCACAAAAATATATTCCGAAAATGTTGAGCCATTTGTTGATGAACCATCTCCTGATGTGAGAACGAAAGAAATATTGAATGAGGAACACAGTATTTCAGATGGTTGTGAAAGTATTAATGTGGTGAATGAAATATTTTCTCAATATCTGAAACGTTAACCAATAGAAATTTCAAAAGCCTTTGTTGGAAAGTTAAGAGACATCAAAACTGTATCTGGATTTGCAAGTGCATGCCACACCGGCTTCTCTTCAGGTAGTTTTTTGTGATATATTGTACTCCCCCTTTTTTATTTATTATTCACTTGAATTTATAATCACTATATTTATCAGGAATGATTAATCGAAGAAATAAATTGAGGTCTAGAATTCCTATCCAACCAACTTCACTATCAAGGCGTAAAACCTGCCATTCAGGTAGAAATAGTTGTGTTGGGGGGCGCCATTCGCTACTACCAAGAAGCGGAATTTCAAAATTAGAAAGCCAGCTTTCCCGAAATTGGAATAAAAATGAATGCATTCGAATATAAAAAAATATATTTTGAGTTACAACAATTTGTCCTGAATTTCATTTTCCAGTTTCTATCACATGCTTCATCAATGGCTAATCAATATTACCAGACACTTGAGAAATAATTCATTGATCATTATTCGATGTATGACTTGGTGATTCAAAATCGCCAAGATCCTCGATTCGAATTGACCGCCAAGGCCAAAATCGACTTGATTGATCAAAAAGCTTGTCTATGCCTGTTATCGGGGCGTTTTGAATACGTGCAATTACTTGACAGGAAATCAGAGGGCTACAAGACGAAGAAATCGAAAATGCCGCTATTATCTATTATAGCCGTAGAAAAATTATAGTGTATAACTTGCACGGAATGCTAATTTCCCACTTGAATGATTGCAGCATTCGCCTATGGCTCATGCTGCGAACTTTATTCTCGTAGGAATTCACTATCATTCCGTGCTCGTTAAACAATATACTATTTCGAATATATACCAAATGTACTTTCAATTATTCAAGTTTTTGATTGACAAAGCGATATTCAGATATTTCTGATGACAAGAAGGTCGCACCAACTCTCTATTTCTTTCCACTGCACTGTGTTGAAACCGCACTTCATGGAAGAGCCGAACTAGTACCACTTGTACTTGCTCTGTAAATTGGCGAGTGGAAAACGATATTAGTTTCACAAAAAAGTAGGGCAGGAACGTACAAACCGCAAGGTTCTATGTTCGATAAGAACCGAGAAACCTGCCCAGCGAGCACAAAAACATCTCAGAGATGTTAAAAGTACGAGATTTCGAGACATTGAACCTCCACTGCGATGTTCTGTTCACACATGAATAGAACTATTATAGAACAGCCAATGTCCGCCGCAGGCGGCAATTATCGAGATGTCCTTGATATGTCACAAAACTACCTTCTCCCTAGTTCTTTTTAAACCCTTTTCATGGACACAACAAAACATTTTCAACGTGTCTTGTGCACATAGAATCGCTGTAAAAAAAACATTTTCGAGGTACTTTTCTGAAGACTTTTGTCAAAATGAACCTGTGCATTAGGATTCCATTTCCCTCGAATGAAAAAATGCTCTAAGAATAGATTGAACATAAACATATTTTCTTGATATGAAATTACCTTCTCAATCGGTTTCTGAGTAGTGCTTACTACATACACACAGACATATAATTGGAAATAGGTTTCCCAATGTTTGAAATGTTCTCCACAATGCATAATTTTGCAACTGCGGAGAAGCTGTGTATTGATGAATTCGTACTTTTATATATTGATTACACTGAGGCACCGAACAACACATCTTGCTTCGGATGGTCATTATTACAAACTAAATAAGTCTTCTAACACAATAAACTTCACCAAAGTCCTTTCTGTTCGTTATCAGCGTGATGTAAGCGTGACACGCTGCAAACGCGAATGCCAATTGCGAACAAGAAGAACAAAATCGAAAACAAATCAGAATTCATCGTATTGTGACGTAAGCATTTGACGTTGTGGTGGGGCAAACAAAGAAAACAAAAGAACAAAACTAATACTTTCAATATCCTTCAAACACCTCTTTGGGAAGTGCATATTACGCCTCAAAAAAACATCCTCATGTCTACATTTCTAAAACATCCCAAAACATCCCAGGGATACCTCTCAGTAGGCAAACAGAGAAATGCCACAAAAGAACAAAGACAATACTTTAATATCCTTCAAAGACCTCTTTGGTCAGTGCATATTACGTCTCAAAATAACATCTTCATGCCAACATTTTCAAAACATCCCAGGGATGTTCGTGCTCGCTGGGTGGCAATCCCAACCAAAATAGGATACATTGTACTATATTCAAATTCTAGGAATGATGTCCAATCCAGCTGCGACCCTAGTGAATATGGATCCGTTTTCTATGCCTGCTGTGCCCCAAATTTCGATCGTTTCTGCTACCCCAGAGAATTCAATCACGAGAAGTGCATGTTCTGATGATAAAATTGAAGAAAATTCCTGCCAGTGCCAGTACCAAAATGATAGCTCATGCAACGATCCTCAAGCCAATGTGAGTATATTTTTTGGACGACTTCAATTCATCCCAGAGCCACGTTATTCGAGGTTGAAAGAAATAAACTAGGGACCAAATGAAAAATGATTCAGGAATATTGTTTGTTCTAGTTTTCACAGTGTCTTAAAACAAGTGAAATAAACTGTGTGTATATACATATACAGGGTATCTGTGAAAGGTTGGGACATGGCTCGGCTGTGGACTCCTGGGATAAAAACAAGTTGATTTAGGTCAACTTACCTATATCCAAAATCGTCTCGTTGAGTTGGTACAAGGCGTTGAAGTTTTTTTGGAAAAAAATAATTTTGCTCATAAAAAGAGTAGGCTGAGATCGATTTTCATAATTTTTGGCATGGCATGTTCTGTGACTGTAAGTCACGTTTTTAGATGTTTTTTATCATCATCAGTGCCCTGCAAGTGTTTCAAACAACCTTGTTGCCGTTCAAATTTGGTGATGAATTTACAGAGGTCAGACTGGGAATTTCCAGTTTTTTTTTCAGGAAGATATTGACACAAAATTTGATATTGTCATCGAAAAATATCCCCAGATCCCAAATTCAATTCCAATATCACATTCATTTTGAAGTTTATTAACAAAAAACTTAAATAATGATTCAACTTTGACACTCTGTATCCGAGAAACGGATAACTTTCGGACATATGTTTATACAAACTTTCCTTCTACTTTGACGTCAGCAACATGATTCTGAATTTTCTATACGTACCTAAGAAACACCCTGTATAACAACAGCATTAAAATTCGTGGAAGATAACTTCGAGTATTCCTTTCTTCCTTTCTTTGAAGAAGAATGGTAATTAATGATGAATTCTCGATTCCAGCAAATCCATGATGCCTTCTCCAATGATCTGGATAAATCTCCAGACGATTCCCCTGAAACGGAAGAACATCCCTATCACTCCCTTAGCAGCTCAGTAGCGACCCTTCGAAGGTACGGCACCATGTCGAGCTTGGAGAGGGTCGAATCGGAAGAAAAAGATGAAGTGTATGAGAACAATATTCCAGGTAAAGCGATCTTTGAATATCTGTACGCCTAATATGGGCCAAATATCGTTGCTAAGAAATTTGTCGATTTTCAAATTTGAGCGCCGAACTGTACAGGGTGGCCCACTAAGACTCCAGAGTTCGATTCCTGAAGTAATAATCGAGCTTCACATTTCAAAATTTCTTCGAAATACACAGGGTGTTCCGTAAGGTCACAGCATATCGAAGCTATGTTTTTTTCATTGGAACACCTTATATTCCATTCCATTTTTGAATTCTCCCTGAAGATCTGATTTCAACGACCCATCATACTTAGGGTCTAGCAGTGAAAGTTACTGACATATAGGGTGTGCAAAATCGAGATTTTTCATGTTCAGAATTTTTTTCTGTCGAAACTGTTCATTATTCGTCAAAACGGTTTACATGTCCCTATCTCAACTTTTCACTCACTATCAATTGGTGTTCAATTGAAATTGATACAAGGTGGTCAAAAAATCTTAATTTATAATTTGTTTCAATTAAATATCAGTTGAAAACCAATTGATAGTGAGTGAAAAGTTGAGATAGGGACATGTAAACCGTTTTGACGAATAATGAACAGTTTCGACAGAAAAGAATCCTGAACTTGGAAAATCTCGATTTTGCACACCCTATATGTCAGTAACTTTCACTGCTAGACCCTAAGTATGATACGTCGTTGAAATCAGATCTTCAGGGAGGATTCAAAAATGAAATAATATATAGGGTGTTCCAATGAAAAAAACATAGCTTTGATGTGCTGTGACCTTACTGAACACCCTGTGTATTTCAAAGAAATTTTGAAATGTGAAGCTCGGTTATCACTTTAATTTGAATGCAAAACTTTTTTTTGTATCTCTCAAGACAACAGAGGTATCGAACTCTGGATTCTTAGTTGGCCACCCTGTACAATTTATTTATTTTTTTCGAGCACAACTGTACACGTTAATCTTCTTTCAGCTTGAATTGGCGAAAAAGTAGTTTGAAATACTAGAAAAACACGCTTCAATAGATGGCCAAACTGAAAAGAAGTAGAAAATAAAATAACAAAAGTGAGTTGATAAATACACAACTTGAAAATGTTATTTTTTATGTTCTATATTCATCAGCACACTTTTATTGATTCGTTTTCTACTTCTTTTCTATTTTGGCCATCTCTGAAAGCGTGTCTTTTTGTCTTTTTTTTATACAGGGTGTCCCATTGGGAAACGGAAAAACTTCAACAGTGGGTAGAGCTCATCAAGGTGGTTCTGAATATACCATATTTGTAGGGTCTCGCAAGTTTTATATCCGAGATATAAGGTGTTTTATCAATTTTGTTCAATATCAGGGTTTTAGGGGTAGACGCTTCTTTATCCCCCCCAAACGAATTTTGTCAAAGAATAAAATTTAAGCGAAACATAGGCAAAATTAACATGTCTTAGAACGTATAATGCTCATTTATCTCAAAAACGGTTCGTTTTGTCGAAAAGAATTAGGAAGCAGAAAAGCCTCCAAATTGAACGATCCACACAATCTGATCAGTGATCAGTGAAAGATGCCAGAGGCGTACGACGAAAAAGTTTTAGGGGGATAAAGAAGCCTCTACCCACAAAAACCTATCACCCTGTAGATTTTGAGAATCTTCAAATAGCTTGAAATGATGATCTTCTAGGAAGTATTGACCACACCAAATTTCAAAATGGAATCTCAAGATGTAAGCGAGATATTTCAATTAATAGAACAAAATTATTGAAAGTGTTGAAAAGGAATATTCTCAGATAAATTATGAACATACAAAAATGGATATATATTTATATAAAGCAATACATTGAGAATTCGCATTCTCTATGTGATGAGAATATTTACTCTTTTTCAGTTAATTCAATAGAAAACAACTACTTTCCTGGCTATATGCCACGACGAACATTGAATTATATCTATTGAACACACACGATAAGAGTTTGGAAATAAAATATAAAAATTTCTGAAATTGAGAATTTGCATTCTCCTTCAGACAAAAATATGTATATACACACATCATTCTGAATATTCAACAGAAAACAACTACTTTCCTGGCTATTTGCCACGTCGAACATTGAATTATATCTGATGAACATTCAAAAGGGGAACATGAAAAATTAAGAATAAAAATCCTCCGAAATTGAGAATTGACGTTCTTCTTCAAATCGGATGAATAATATGATGAATAATGATCTAGAAATATGACTTACCAATATATTCAGCATTGAAATGGAAATTGGAATGTATAGGAGAAGTATACTGGCATGAACTCTGATCTTGATGAGCTTGAAAACGTCCAAAAATAATCATTCATATCAGTGATATGGGAAATATTATCTCTCACACACAGGTTATATGACTTTATTGCAATGAACCCATTTCGGATCTCTGAATCCTCATCAGTAACCATGATGTCCACTTATTCTTACAGCCATTCTTCATGATATACACAATTTTCATCTCTATATAATACAACTAAAATCGAGTAAAACTATAACGAAATGACATCTGAGAAATTTGTTGACATTCTATTCCTGTCATTTGGACGTTTTTGCTTTTGGGTGTATGATAAATTGACATTCATCATACAGGGCGTGGAAATGAATTCTGAATTGAGACTCTATCACGAATCTGCGATTAGAGGTCTATAAAAATCACAAGTTTCCATCGTTCAAGTTTGAACCCCCTGATTGGGTATGAAAGTGTTGAAAAGGAATATTCTCAGATAAATTATGAACATACAAAAATGGATATATATTTATATAAAGCAATACATTGAGAATTCGCATTCTCTATAACCTGTGTGTGAGAGATAATATTTCCCATATCACTGATATGAATGATTATTTTTGGACGTTTTCAAGCTCATCAAGATCAGAGTTCATGCCAGTATACTTCTCCTATACATTCCAATTTCCATTTCAATGCTGAATATATTGGTAAGTCATATTTCTAGATCATTATTCATCATATTATTCATCCGATTTGAAGAAGAACGTCAATTCTCAATTTCGGAGGATTTTTATTCTTAATTTTTCATGTTCCCCTTTTGAATGTTCATCAGATATAATTCAATGTTCGACGTGGCAAATAGCCAGGAAAGTAGTTGTTTTCTGTTGAATATTCAGAATGATGTGTGTATATACATATTTTTGTCTGAAGGAGAATGCAAATTCTCAATTTCAGAAATTTTTATATTTTATTTCCAAACTCTTATCGTGTGTGTTCAATAGATATAATTCAATGTTCGTCGTGGCATATAGCCAGGAAAGTAGTTGTTTTCTATTGAATTAACTGAAAAAGAGTAAATATTCTCATCACATAGAGAATGCGAATTCTCAATGTATTGCTTTATATAAATATATATCCATTTTTGTATGTTCATAATTTATCTGAGAATATTCCTTTTCAACACTTTCATACCCAATCAGGGGGTTCAAACTTGAACGATGGAAACTTGTGATTTTTATAGACCTCTAATCGCAGATTCGTGATAGAGTCTCAATTCAGAATTCATTTCCACGCCCTGTATGATGAATGTCAATTTATCATACACCCAAAAGCAAAATTATTGAACTTTGACCCCCTGTAGCCCCGCTTCTGGACGAGATCAGACTAATGTTTATGTGAACTTATCCGATTGAAATGATGAGATCTATCTCCCATTACAGTTTGTGCCTCAAAACCTGAATCACCCTGTATAGTGACTATCAAAGTTATAATGAGATTTCAATATTTTGAAGAAAAAAAAAAAGGAAAAATCTCCTTTTTTACAGATAGTGACGAAGACAATGATGCCGATGTGGAAGATGATGAAGAAGGAGGAATCGATAATGCCGCTTTTAATCATTCTTCATCTATCAGACATTGGACTGCCAAAGCTGGATGCTTTGTAGCTGAGAAAATGGCGATTTTTGAAAAACTAGGAGAGGACTACCGAAATGGTGGATTTTTCGATAGGTAAATGATAGTTTGAGTACTAAACTCTAGGCAACAACAATTCTTCGTTTTACTCTGAAAATTTTGGCATTACTTTCAATGAGAAAGTTTCCTTCAGATGAATTTTCATGAAATAAGGTCGGAACTCTCCAGTTTTATGTCCACGCTGTACAGAATGGCGACCGATAAAGTTGAAGTCGTTTTCATTCTCAAAAGCAATTTCTAATTTTCGCTGCGGCAAATTGTGACGTACATTCTGAATCTAGTCTGGAAATAGCTGATGGTGAAGAATATAGCTAGCGAATAGCTAACGAATAAAAAGCGAATGAAAAAAAAATAGAAGAAGAAGTGAAACTGGTGAACAAAAACATACATAACCACGAATGCACTCGGAGAAGGAATGCATGAGGAAGTTGGCTTCATTCTGACAGGTTATGGTTTTGTTATTTATGCATTGAAATATCTCGAATAGACCTTGATCCTAAACGAAAATATTATTGAATCTTCGAATCACTATCGGCTACATCAAATGCTTCTATCCTTCCTAATTTACTGCCATCGGACAGAACAGAATGAAGCCGACACCAATGGCTCCTTCCTCTTGTTGTGCCTGTCAGTATTTTGATTGGTTTGGACGGACACGAAGTATTAGGCGCTGTTGCAAATCTGCAACTTTCCTTGAAAATAGATCCGTTTTATTAAGGAACGAGTTCAAAACCAAAAAAATTAATGACAAGTTATGAATAACATTTAACATAATAATGGTTCAGTAATTATTCGAAAATTAAATTTTTCTTTCGAACCCTACTATATTTCTGTGCAATTTTCAGGTATCTCAGAGCAGCAGATCAGCCTGTCAATGGGGAGGATCAGCAAGAAGAGGAAACTTCCGGAGCTACTTCCGGCGAGGAGATTTGGGGAACTCCCACGAGTGGAGATATGGACGATAACTTGAATTCTCCCAGTTATGAGGACAAGCAATCGGTTAGAAAATTTCATCATATATCAAGGGGTTTACCTAGTTTATGTTGAGATGTCTCTGATTTTGATTAGTTTGAAATTTTTGTCAAATGAGTAGTTGCAATTCTCTGCCAGTTTCATTGAAAATTTGGAATAGTATATGGTTGCAATACCGTAGATTTGTTTCTTGTGTCGTGTCTCTAAATATCGGATTGTGCTTGATAGTTGCTCAGGTTTTTTTCACGTTCAAAAGGTTATGGTACAAAATGGTCGAAAATATGGTCACGATCTTTAGTTCCTCAAATATAGGTCTGCAGCTGACTTCCCAATTCGCTTTTTTTATACTACGTAAGGCAGCTTTTTGAATGATTAAAATTATTTGTAAATAACTATTTGATACATTGCCCCATATTAGGGCTCCATATATTGAAACAGAGTGGAAGAGTGCAAACTAGATTATGCATGCAGCTGATTCGCCAAGTGAATAACAAATTTTCCTGATAGCGTACACTGTTCTTGAGAGTTTACCACACAATCATAATATATTTATATGTTCTGACCAACCTCGTATCTAATATAACTAACTCCCAGGAAATTAACATGGTAATTTGAATTTTCAGGAGTAACATTTTCGAACGTTCTACTTTTACTTTTACTTTCATTCAATAGCATATCATTGTGCTCGAACCAAGCCCTAGCTCTCTCCAAAACAGGTGAAAAAACAAGTTGGGTATCTTCTTCTTTTCCAATTCACTGCCAAACGTACTATCGTCCGCATACATCATATTTGATGTCTTTATAGAATTGATAGTGTAAGGTAGATCATTTATGTAGATCAAGAACAGAAGGGGCCCCGAAACTGATCCTTGCAGTACTCCTCTCTTCACAGTAGCTATATCACTTCGTTTTTCGCCCTGTATATCTAGCCAAATGACGGATCGATATCTTCTGATTACGGAGACGACACTGAAATCATGATGGACGAACTGCTGATGACTCCACCTATAACGGGAGCTATAATGCGTGGCCTACTGCCCAGAAGAACGTTGGAACCGCTTATTGAAGAGGACGGATCCGAAACGTCGACTTCCTCTTCGATCGACTCCGTCACCGATCCATCGATCTCACCCGAACAGGTAGTTAAAAATAGACAAATTGTTCACTGAGTGGCGAAATAATAATTGACGTAACAAGTCCGGAAACTATTGTTTTTTTGGACGAGTAGACGAAATTCTAGACCGAGCCGTAGGCAAGTCCTGGAAGTCTGCGAGTCCAAAAAAACTATTTTTTCGGCAACTATGTGGAATAACAAATCAATGAGGCTCATTTCCCTTTTATATTTCTTTGTAGAATACAATTTCTTCTTTATTAATTCTCATTTGTATCAAATACTGAAATTTGAACAGAATACCTATACCTATAATAACTGGTACATTGGAGATTTTGTATGGACATTTTCAAACTCACTATCGCAGCTGCTTTCGATAGTTTATTGCGATTATTTCATTCACACCCGGCTGGACCTATGAAATGTCATGATTGAAGTCACATGATATGCGATATCAGCGGCTATTTAGGTAAACAAACAATATGAGCGGCTATTCTGTTCGCTAGCATAAGGGTGCTATATGGTTGTCAAACTTTGACATACCTATCAGTCACTGAAAAATTGAAATGTCTCGTTTTGAGCCAACTTCCACTACGAAAATTCGTTATTATGTAAGCGAATCGATATCAGAAAATAACAAGAAGAGTGAAGAGTCTGTCTGGAACAATTCATGTTTGTTTGCCAGCATAAAAACTATGAATTTTGTGCGACTACCCTATCTCTCGTGATTTCCCAAATCCTAAAAGAGTGGGTGAGGAGAATGGTGAGGAATATTAGGAATACACAGTTGAAATTGAAATGGAAAACTATATACAGGAAGATTACTTCGATGAAGATAAATATAAGACAAATCCATTTGGATATATTGAATTCACAGGTGCCAGGGTTGCGCATAATGCAAAAAGGCGAAGCCTACAATATTTTCCTCAAACAAGAAATGAAAGTACATAAGCTCTAATCAAAGAATATCAACGCTATCAATAACGTTAATATTCTTTCTTTGCTCTAACTTCAGATAAATTTGATACAATTGTACGTAGATATGATGAGAATACCCCAGACGGTCTTCAGAAGAATTTTTATTCAAATAGTATCTGCAGAATTGTAACTTGAATAAAATGTTGAAACTCATATAAACCAGTATTTTTGCACTGTTCATGAAATAATCTTCCTGAATATCACTCGACCATGACAAATGGAGACTATTATTTTCGTTAATCCATCTCGAGTAACTGGTATTTTGGGACAATTCAATTCGACCATATGAACATAAATAATCATAGAATAACTCCCTCGAGCTAAAGCTCTCGGGAGTTATTCAGATTATTTATGTTCATATGGTCTCATCAAATTGTCAAAATACAAGATACTCTCGATAGAATTATGTCGAAAATAATAGTCGGCTTTTTGTCATGGTTTCGGGATATTACCTGCGATAATTGCAACCAAACTTTCAAAAATCAAAATGTCAACTGATCTCATGTCAAATAGCTGTCAGCCGATATTTTGCCTTTATGATAATAATAAAATTTATTCTAATCACATTTTCGAAAAGTGAAATTAATTCAAGAATACTGAAATGTATACACGTACAGAAAGACATCTTATGAAGTTCCATCCCCTTTAACTCTTTCATTTTTTATAGCTGAATGAAAATAAAAGAAAATACTAACAGGAGATTCTTTTACTAAACTGAAAGATACATTTCCACTATCCGACAACTGATAAGATATACAGGAAGCAGCCGAATGTCGCCTTCATTATTTCTTCATCATTAGCAAGACCTTTCGAATGAGAGATTGAATATTCATTCACTTCTTGCTGCTCCCTGTATTTGCTCAGGTAGTGAAACTATCACTGTTCATTCTTAAAAAAAAACTGTCGAGATGTTTTCTGTTTTTTTTTACTGTCAAAAATAAAAGAGTAATAGGACGGGGTACTTTATAACAGGTGACAATTCCAGATTTATTGGAGCGAAACTGGATATTTTTTTGATAGAATTGTGAAATTTGTGATTTTTTAGTATACCAAAACTTTCAGTTCTGTTCCGATTCATATTGACCAGAAGGCAATATACGTTTTGTTCGAGTAAAGCTATGCAGACTGATTCATGCAGAATAGTACTATATCGAATTCATTAGAGCAAAACTTTAGAATTCCAATTTATTCGAGTAGAACTGTACCTGATATTCATTCCAACATTCATTGGAATGGCTCTCGATGCTTCATTTGCTGAGTAAGATTCAAGCAGACTACTGGACTATTGAATAAAAATTCATTGGAGTGAAATTGATTATTTTCTGAATTGAAACTAAAGGCAAAATCTGCAGATCCTTTTCGATTTATTCGAACCGAACTGTACAATCAGTGATTATTTCAAGCAGGGATGCACTTTCCAATTTTTTCGATCAGCACTGAGCACTTTACAACTTTTTTGAGTATCACTATTATACCATGTAATATATAATTTTTTCTAGCACTAATGTACAATTTTCGATTATTTGGAGGAACTATGTACACATTCAATTTTTTTCTAAAAGTGTTTTGTTGAATATTCCACTGAAAAAATATTTTCTAGAAATGAGATGTACAGTCGTCTTCAGAGATCATGTCGCGGTTGAACAGTGTCAGCGCTCTTATTGCAGGAGTTATTAAGAATGCTAGCATCGTCCATGTGCGACATGTTTTCTGAAGACGACTGTACATAGTATAACAACGTTTGCCGGGTCAGCTGAAATCAATAAAGTGACTCGAAATGAATTCAATATTTGTGTACTGTCTTTCCCTATACACATTGTTTTTATTAAGTAGAGTAAGAACGAGCGCAGGATAACGCAGAGCATCAATTTTCCAAATATATAAAAATATCCCAATTGAAATAACATAAAAAACAAATCTGAATAATATCATTCCATACTGAAAATATGACTGCGCCACTAGATACTAGGTGAAAAAATGTATGAAAGACAGTTTTTACTTTTTCGATAAGTTGATAGTAGGTTGAGATACAGGGTGGGTCTCAGGATGCAACCTTTTCAATTTTGCCTTGTATCTCAAAAGCAAAGCGAGTTATCAAAATTCTGTTTGTGGTATCGTGAATTCCACAAAAAAATTCGCGAGCACCCCGGATCTCTATCTTTGAAAATAAATGAGATATCCCGTAAGGACATCGAAAAAAGGCCAGCCTCAACACTTCCAATTTTTTCGAGCGGTACTGTACATTTTCCGTTTTTTCTGAGCAACACTGTACGTTTTCCGTTTCTCCCGAGCAACACTGTACACATTTTTTCAAAATCATTGAAAATCGATGTAGCCAAGAGTAAACAATATTTTCGCATTGCGGGCAGGGCAGCGGAACTGGAAGTGCTGCTGACACATGTTCGGCTGCTGCCGAAAGTCCGGCGATGTCCGGCGCTACTCCGCCGGCCGCCGGTACGCCGCCGCCGGCGCCGGAGGCGGGGACAAGGATGCGCCGGTCGGAAAGCTACCGGCGCATCGTCGAAGCTGCAGAGAGCGAAGGAAGCTTCAGCTTCGAGCGAGACGCATTTTTCTTCAGTCGGCTGAGGCCGGTGGCCAGGTTTGCAAGTATTGAGAGGGCGTCTAGGTCAAAGAGTGTCAAAATGTGAGTTTTCAAAATATAGAAATTTTCTTTTTACACTATTGACAATATTTCAAAAATCTTAGTTAACACAAAAGACAAAGTTCCTTTGAATCACAAATCTGGTGTCTATAGCATTTCTTGTTCTGATTGCAATGCACAGTATGTTGGCCAAAGCGGTAGAAGGATTTCAACTAGAGTCTTGGAACATGTAAAAACCATAGAAAAATCTAAAACCTTCCCTCCGATTTTAGATGAGTATAACACTAAGAGTTCTTTTGCTAACCACATACTAAATCCTGAACACAATTTTTACATGTTTGTCAGAAAGGTATTTTATTGAATTTGTTGGAAATTTTTGAAATAAATTCTGCTTTGAACAATAATTTGGTCACATCCCTTAATGAACAGGTAAACTATGATTGTGTGAAATTTTTCAATTCCTTAGATTTTACCAATAACCAAATTTAGTTTTTATGTTGTTTGGCACCTGCTTTGGTCTCTTTCAATTATCATCATTCATTTAATTTCAGATTTGCTACTAACCATCTTGTTGGAATGTTCCTCCTCCCCCTCCCTTTCAAATCTTCTCATTGTCATTTCTGTTTGAGTATTGTTAACTGTACTGTCTCTAGTGGAATTCACATTCATCCCATTGTTCGCTTTAATTCTGTGTCCTATGTCACTTGTCATAATGTCATGTTATTAAGACTTTGACTTATGTCAAGTTCTTGCAATTAATTCTGTGTTTCTAACCTTAGGTTGGATGTAACACGTTTTTGGCTTTTGGCCCCATCAATTCTAAATTGATTTTTGATTTTTAAGTGCGCTCTCTCAAGGGTACGGGACCCTTTTCCCGTAATACACCAATATGGTTATTTTGAGCACCTTGTGTGTTCGTCAAGTTTCCCTTCTGGGACTTGACTTGTGATTTGATTCATAAGTGCGCGTTCTCAGGGCACGGGGCCCTTCATTTTTAATGAAAACCCGTTTATTCCTTCAAATTATTTATTATTCATCAATGACATTATGATGAGAGACATCGACATCATTGTTAGAACAAACAATGTTTCACCTCCATGTAAGTCAAAAAACAATTTTTATAACATTTTGTATATTTTCACATGTCTTTACTTTTAGTAATTTCTTCAATACGGCTGAAGATGGACTTTTGTAAGTTCGAAACATGTCCCGTTGAATAAACACTTCATATTAAAGTTGTGGAGATGACTTTGAGCTTTCCTTCCTCCTTTAAAAATTCCACTCCACTTTGAGCAAACATGGACTTCTACCAGAGATTATAGAAATTTTTGTATCTGGTGCGCGAAATGCTACTTTGGTGATCGAGAATTGACGAAAAAATAGTCGAGATGACCAAAGTATTTCGCACACCAGTGGCAAACAACATTTTGCTACAAACGTCAAGGAATATAGCCAGTTCTAAAGTAGTAATATGCTTAGCTCAATATAAAAAAAAATGTGTTCAACTGATTTGAAAGGCTTTTCCCTATCTTTCCTAGGTACCACGAACATTATCGAGTGTGGCACCACGGACTCCTCGCCAAGTTTCCATCTTATGGCTTGCCTCCCCAGCTATGTTCTCTGCTAGCTAGTTTTCTCTCAAACAGGTCTCTCCATGTAGTGGTCGACGGAGTTTCATCTGACTCTCTTATCATAAATGCTGGTGTTCCGCAAGGATCAATTCTAGCACCAACACTATTTCTACTCCATATTAACGATTTGTTGGAAGCAACTTTATGTCCAGTACACAGCTTCGCGGATGATAGTACCCTCCATACCGCCTTCTCTTCCACGGCTCCAAAACCAGCCAGGCAAATCAGAAACGAACGAGGGAGAAATGTTGACAACATAAATATGGACTTGGCAACAATTCTCGAATGGGGATCCAATGACTTGGTAGATTTCAATGCGAACAAAACACAAGCATATCTTTTCTCTAGAAAAGCCGATCTCACTGTGCCCAACATAAGCTTGTCAGGAGTAACCATACCTTTGAAGACATCCATTTCGATGCTTGGGATTACTAACAGCAATAACCTTTCTTGGGAAAATCACGTAAGATGCGACCTGTCCTGGAATACTGTTCTCATATTTGGAGTGCAGCACCCAAACATACCCTGAAACTGTTGGATTCTGTCCAAAAAAGGGCAATTCGTCTCCTGGGTGAAGCCTCGCTCACAAACTCACTCACTTCCCTATAACACCGTGAAAAAGTTGGCGATCTGGCTCTATTTCATAGATATTTTCATGGACGCTGCTCTTCTGAAATATCAACAATTGTTCGATCCTCCCTTGGCAGTCCTCGTGAGGTTAACCCGTCGAATTGAGGCTTCGCACCCCTTCGTGGTCACTTTGGAGATCTGCAGAACATCTCTTTCCAAAGACTCGTTTATCCAACGAACGGAGGTGTTCCTCGAGGCATATAACCTCCAGAAATTCAAGAAGAACACCAATTCCTACCTTATTTCCCTTGGTTCTCACGATGTTCTCCAAGGAAAATAAATGGCCCTGTATATGAAACAACTCCACGAAATGAAAGTTTGGGTCATTCGACACAACTTTTTCATTGACCATTTTTTCATATCTCTGAAAACAAAAGAGTTCAGAGGGATTCCATTTTGAGGCCAATCACTCCACAACGAAGTGCTATAGGCATGTTTATATTCAAAGTCCAACATTATTTTGGCTCACTCTGTTAGAACTATCATTAACGACCTTACCTTTCCGGACACTTAGTATTTTGGACCACGACGTTTTAATTTTGTAAACAGTACAAACACAAGAGTTTTTTTATCGGATACATTTCTCTTGCTAACGATAAACATTTGCCGATCAGTAATTTTACGAGAAAAACTGACTTGAAAAAATTGCGAGACCTTAGGTCGAGCAATTTTGTCTAATGTCAGTTTTTCGAGAGAAATAACCGATGGAAAATGTTCGAGTTAATAAGGAAACTTTAGAAAAAATTAAGAAAAAAGTTGGAGTGTTTTTTTGGCAAGATAAATGAACGACAATATACAAATGAGCAACAATAATGATTACCTTTATTGATGATTCCGTGAAACTGGTAGCATGCGGAATTGATTTTCTTATATTTTAGTGGTTTCTTCATGCGAAATTTTCCTGAAACGGCTCATCTTGCTAATTTACGCGTGAACCATATCCATCAATCAAACTTGACACGACAGAAATTGGAGATAGATGCATCCTTTTTTATCGATGTCAAAATGACTCAAGACATCGTCAAATTGCGTTTTCCGTGTAGGAGTTGATTAATCGCTATGAAAACCTTTTAGGGACATCCTGTATGCATGTATAATCATCGTTTTTGTTGCAGTTTTGAGTTTTTTAATGTTTGCAAGCCAGAAAGAAGAATTTACGAAAGGTTTCCCTATGGTAGACATCCGTTCAAAGTGTTCGAAAACATCGAAGAACATCAACCTAATGATTTCACTCCTGGCTCTCCAAAAATATTAAAGGTGAAAATTTCAAATTCAAAATTTTGTTGATGATTCATGACTAAAGAATACAAATTTCATACATCTTGTTGGGAAAATTTGTGTATTTCTTGATACCTCTAGTAAAAAAAAAACAATATTTCATCATCATCATAATGTATACCTAATATTAATCTTCAGCAAAATATTTATACTTGCAAGAATTTTTCGGATTTCACGTCTTTGTTTCGTAAGAATATCTACATTACTTATTTACGTCCATAGTTATCAGTGGAGACATTATATTGTTGAAATTCAGAACTCATTTTACACAATATTTCAATCATCATTTCGTTATACTGAATGTTTTTTAATGTGTCATTAATATACATCAACAGTAGAAGCTTCGAGATGGATTCAATTATAATAGGAATGTTTTTTTTGCCTTGAATTCTATTCCTTGCTACCAAATTGTTTTTACCCAGCGAGCACAAAAACATCTCAGAGATGTTGAAAGTACGAGATTTCGAGACATTGAACCTCCACTGCGATGTTCTGTTCACACATGAATAGAACTATTATAGAACAGCCAATGTCCGCCGCAGGCAGCAATTATCGAGATGTCCTTGATATGTCACAAAACTACCTTCTCCCTAGTTCTTTTCAAAGCCTTTTCATGGACACAACAGAACATTTTCAACGCGTCTTGCGCACATTAAATCGCTGTAAAAAAAACATTTTCGAGGTACTTTTCTGAAGCCTTTTGTCAAAATGAACTTTTGCATTAGGATTCCATTTCCCTTGAATGAAAAAAATGCATTAAAAATAAATTGAACATAAAAATATTTTCTTGATATGAAATTACCTTCTTAATCGGTTCCTGAGTAGTGGTTACTACACACAGACATATAATTGGAAATAGGTTTCCCAATTTTTGAAATGTTCTCCACAATGCATAATTTTGCAACTGCGGAGAAGCTGTGTATTGATAAATTCGTACTTTTATATATCGATTACACTGAGGCACCGAACAACACATCTTGCATCTGATGGTCATTATTACAAACTAAATAAGTCTTCTAACACAATAAACTTCACCAAATTCCTTTCTGTTCGTTAGCAGCGTGATGTAAGCGTGACACGCTGCAAACGCGAATGCCAATTGCGAACAAGAAGAACAAAATCGAAAACAAATCAGAATTCATCGTATTGTGACGTAAGCATGAGACGTTGTGGTGGGGCAAACAAAGAAAGGGCACAAAATAACAAAAACAATACTTTCAATATCCTTCTAAGACCTCTTTGGGAAGTGCATATTACGCCTCAAAAAAACATCCTCATGCCTACATTTCTAAAACATCCCAAAACATCCCAGGGATACCTTTCAGTAGGCAAACAAAGAAATGCCACAGAAGAACAAAAACAATACTTCAATATCCTTCAAAGACCTCTTTGGTCAGTGCATATTACGTCTCAAAATAACATCTTCATGCCAACATTTTCAAAACATCCCAGGGATGTTTGTGCTCGCTGGGTATGTTTTGTGATATCAGAGAAAATGTAGAAATTATTCAATTTAAGAAAAAACTCAATTCTTTCTATACCAATTTTGACAGTTTCTTCGATACATAATATTATAATCTATTGACAGGACAAACAGATGGACAGAAGATTCTGGAAACAGCTAAGTCGTAGAAGAGGATGCAAAGGAAATATTCCGGCCTAATAATATTCAACTATCAACATACAAAAATGATAAATAAACCTTATTTTGTTTTTATTCCATTAGGAGTGAACTAGATCAATTATTATTATGATGTGCGTTTGGATGCGAGTATAGTAGGAATGAAAAATGTCTTGAAATATGATTCAAAGACTATTATTATAGTAATTATTATTATCATTATTTGGTTGAATCTGAGAACTGGTCTTGATAAGATAACGATATCGGAAGATAAGGAGGAAGACAATACTCATTATAAAATAATGTGTCAAAACTGAAAATTTTGACAAATATTACAGAAATTCAGAATGTTTCATTGATTGACAGACTAACGGGATAGTTATAGTCAGCTCTCTTCTACAGAGTAAGTCACGTAAAATTGCTTACAGAGCTTATTCTGAAAGACTTTTTCTGATGAAGATAAAAACAAAAAAATACAAGTCATAGTTAGGAAAGGAACCGTGAATGGAACGAATCCTGATACAACAGTTCAACTTTCGTTTCGTTTTTTTTTTCAACTTTAACTATTCGTCAAGTTTTTCTAGAAAGATACTTTTAACTTTTGTTAAAAAATTGGTGAACATTCAACAAAAGAAATAAAAGTGCTATGGCTTCGGGCGATTTTCATTAGACACCCTGTAGAATAGAGATGATACTTTTTATTTTTCATGATTGAAAGACCTAACTAACTTCATACTCAAGGCCTTGTTAACTAAATTGGTACTAAGAATGACTAAGTACCTAGTACCTACTTTATACTAAGCTTTTAAAAATAATTGTTATTGTCCATTTTCAAGACTATAAATTATTATTATTGTCATTAATAATTATTGTTCAGCTAGGTGAGAATACTTTTCGAAATTTTCTAGGTCTAGTTAATGGTAAAACTGTATAGAAATTAATCCGTCACACTCCATTGTGATATCAATACTGTTTTATATACCTAATGTTAAAAATAAACGAGTCAAAATACTTTGAAGTTTTTTTTATTGTTCCACCAACTTCCACTGAACAAAAAACGACAGCGGAGATATACCGTGACATAACTATAATTGCATGCAAAAAATATATACAGGGTGAATTTGAAGGAAGTTATTTCGTTTTTCTGCCCATCAACAGCCTTTCCAAATCTCCAAGTGCATACATGATTTCAATGTTCTTATTTTTCGGATCTTTCTTGTCAGGAAGTTGGATTGTGACCTTGTCACTTTTTGTTTGTCCATTTGAAGCAGCTTGATTCCAGATACTTTGCCACAGTTTGATCTTATCTTCGTTTTTTGTGTTCAAAAGTGTCTTCGTAAACTCTGCTCTATCTAAACTCGAAAAAACAAAATAGTTATATGTGGTGATTTGGTATAACAGCATCAAACACTTGGCGAGAGGATTTTGAAGGCTATGACGAGGATGAAAGTTTATACGAACATACAGTCTTTCAGAAAGTTGGCATCATATGGGGAAAACTTTCAATAAAAATTTATTTTGAAATTTGAAAAAGATGAAAAATAGCCTAGTTGGTCGGGATCACATGACTTGTCAGAAATAATATTTTTTCAAATTATTCGTTTATTCCGATTTTATACAATCATGTGCCTCAAATTCCTGTTATATTTGATGCGAAGTTGATCATTATAGGATGAGCGAAATTCATTGAAATGGATTTCTTCAGTACTGAAATATGTCAGTAATCAATCAAAATATAATTAAACTACTTGATGTATCTAATCGAAGAAGTTTTAGGGCAGTTTTGTCGAAGTAATTTTTTTTTATTATTTCAGGAATTTCGTGAAAATAAAAAATATCAGAGACTGAGAGTTGCAATAGAACGCTAAAAAAGAAACATTTGTGAAATTGGGGATTGGGATAGAAAAAACTTTTATCATTGAACGTTTTCGAAATTCGATCAAATAAGCCTATTTTTAGCGAATAATTTGAAGAAATGTAATTCATATTGACAGGCCATTCTTCATCTTCTTCAATGCAAAAATTAACAACCAAGTCAAATTTTAAAGAAATATATAATTTTGTTTGTTTGTTTGTCGAGATACAGGATGTGAAGTTTCTTGTCGAAATTTAATCACTCTGTACAATCGTTAGCAAATCGAAACTATTTCCATATAAATATTTTTTGTTTACAATGATTGCCAAAACTACTTTGATTAATTTTTTTTTGGTGCATCAGACCAATATGTATATAAAAGAGGTAAAATGATCCACCTCACCCTGTAGAAACTTTCAATCACCACATGCAATATATTGGATCTTTCTTTTATTTGATTCAGACCAGGGAAGAGTCCCTCTTATCCAAATTACTATTATGAAACAAAATGAGAACGATATTGAAGTTTGATGCGAACAGCCCTTCTGCCCCAAATAAGTTTCAGAAATACATTCTGAGAATTGAAAAAGATCGAACGGAATTGATAAATATCAAAAGTTCGACAATAGTAAATTTGGTCATAACGTTGATATTTCCTCTAGTTTATGGACAATCTTGGTGTTTTGAACTTGATTGATCACCTGAGTCATAATCAACTGCATTTCGAAGAAGCTGATTCTCATGAACCTCAGCTTTTCCGAAAGTCTTGATGTTCCGTTCTCTAATGACGGTTATTCCGAACATACCAAGGAGATCCTATCAATGTTTGTAATCTGGTGATATGAGTTTTAGCTATGTGGCCCCAGACTACCGAGACATACAGTAAAATTGGCCTGATAGGCATGATGTGAATATTAAATTTTTGTCTCAAGCCCTATTAACTTATTCGTCTGTTTGTTAACGATGATTTCGAAAATTTCTTTGATTTTTTATTTGTGCATCAGACCAATGTATGTAAAAGAGGTAGAATGATCCACATCACCCTGTAGATACGTTCGATCACCATCATGCAATAACTAATTCTATGTGCTGATCAACATGTTTGTATTATATCTTCGCCTTTATCTTCATTGACCTCACAGCGACCGTTTTGTAATAATCTGTTTATCAAATAAAAAAACACTCTCTGTAACAAACACGCGATTAGAAACGAACAATCATTCCAGCTCAGTTATCGATCAGTGATTCAGAAGTCCACTCGTTCCAACAAAATAATTAAACAATTTAACAGTGTCAAAATGTCCGAAAGCGGCAAAATCGTCCTGCTGTCAGTCTCAGACAAAATAGGCCTGGTCGATTTCGGCAAAAAGCTGCACAGCCTCGGCTTCACCTTAGTAGGCAGCGGAGGCACGGCGGCCATTTTGAGAGGCGCCGGCCTTCCCATCAAAGACGTCTCTGACATATCTGGCGCGCCAGAAATCCTAGGAGGCCGCGTCAAAACCCTCCACCCAGCAGTCCATGGAGGTATCCTCGCTAGACTAACACCCTCAGACCAAGAGGATCTGCGCCAGCAAAAAATAGAGATGATAAGGATAGTAGTCTGCAACTTGTATCCCTTCAGAGAAACCGTCTCCAAGCCAGACGTGACCTTGGAAGACGCCGTAGAGAACATTGACATAGGCGGAGTGACCTTACTGAGAGCAGCTGCCAAAAACCACGAGCGAGTCACTGTCATAGTCGACCCAACCGATTACACCAAGGTCCTTATGGAAATCAAGAACAGCCCGCAGAGAGATACCTCGCTAGAAACCAGGCGAACCCTGGCACTCAAAGCTTTCACGCACACCTCCCAATACGACGTCACCATCTCAGACTACTTCCGCAAACAGTTCTCCAGCAACGTGTCGCAACTGTCCCTCAGGTATGGCATGAACCCCCACCAAAAACCTGCCCAGCTGTACACTACCCTAGAGAAACTACCCCTGACTGTAGTCAATGGTTCTCCTGGCTTCATCAACCTCTGTGATGCTCTCAATGCCTGGCAGCTAGTCAAAGAGCTCAAAACTGCCTTGAGGCTGCCGGCTGCAGCCAGCTTCAAGCACGTATCTCCAGCTGGAGCTGCTGTGGGTTCGCCTCTGGACGATACGCAAGCAAAGCTTTGCATGGTGGACGATATCAAAGAAGAACTGACTCCTCTGGCTATCGCTTATGCTAGAGCTAGGGGAGCCGACAGGATGTCTTCCTTTGGGGATTTCGTAGCGCTTTCTGACGTCTGTGACCGAGCCACAGCTAGGTTGATTTCTAGGGAAGTGTCTGATGGAGTGATTGCTCCCGGGTACACTGCAGAAGCTTTGGAACTGCTCAAAGCCAAGAAGAAAGGAGGTTACTGTGTGCTGCAAATTGATCCCGATTATGTACCGAGCGCTAGAGAAAAGAAGGTGATTTTCGGTTTGAGTCTGGAGCAGCAAAGGAACGATGCTGTTATTGACAGGAACCTCTTCCAGAATGTAGTGAGCGATAATAAGGATCTTCCTGATACCGCAGTGAGAGACCTCATTGTAGCTACCATAGCTTTGAAGTACACTCAGAGCAATTCGGTGTGCTATGCTAAGGATGGACAGGTCATTGGTATAGGAGCTGGACAGCAATCTAGGATACACTGCACCAGGTTAAATCATTTATTTATTTATTACCTAATTCATTTACGTAGTCATTCATTTCTTAAATCATGTGAAATTCATATATTGAGTCATTGAATATAAGTTACATAATCTACAGTGCGCGGATAAAGTATGGAAACATCCAGATATTTTTGTACCCTGTAGGATACGAATCCACAATTCTTTACAGAAAGAAGGTGCTTTTGTTTCAGAACATTGTGGTGGATATGGAAAAAAAAAGCACAAAAATTGAAATAGTTTTTTATCATCATTCTCCTATTTTACGCGCCTGTTAGAAATTGTTTGGTGTAAAGAAAGTGGTAGTTTTTTTTAAAGCCACAATTATTTGAAAATTGGCAACGTTATGCATAAAATATGAGATGTAACGATATTCTTGAATGGATTTCACTTGAAAATGATACATCTGATCTATATGGAACAAGAACAGTTTTTTATCTGTAAAGAGGTGTGGATTTGCCTATTCCGAGATTGAATTTTGAAAAAATATGCATACGAAAAATTTGAGCAATATTTAATGTAGTAATGTAAATTTTCGAATGATTTTATTTTCTCTGCATTGGGCATGAATAGATTAGTTCTTGTATCGAATTGCATCATTTTGTCAAATAACGTTTCGGAATTATTCAAGAAATATCATCTTCAGGAGCCCTCTTTCAGGGGATGGTAGCTCCTTTAGGAGACATTCATCGATTCATATTCATTTGTTTGAACTTTTTTTTCTATTTATGGTCCGGAAAGCCGCTTTTGGCAGGCAAATTTCGGGACACCCTGTATATTAAATGAACCTGCGATTTTGAATTTTGAATTTTCAACATTGCCTAATGTACAGGTTCTGAGATATACGAATAATATGTTTATTTATGAATGGGACAACCCGTATCTCTCACAAGTTTTTGTTATAGTTTCTTATTGCAGAGATTGACAACATGATATGGGGTGTCAAAGATATCTTGATCATGTTACCATACTTTACGTCCGCACTGTATATATTTTAGATTGTACCACCTTCACATAGGTTATGACCTGTGTGTGAAAGGAATGAATTATTCCATGTATAAAAATGTTCTTCACAATATAAATATGTACCTAAATTGAATACAAATAATCAATTTACACAAGAAAAAGAATAAAATGGAAAGAGAAAAACAAACATAGCTGATCAGAAAAGAACATCGACAATGTTTGCATTTTCTATAAACCAACTTTGAATATTAGATCCACTAAAACAAGTATGTTTTCCTGAAAGTACAAGTTTATGTTTTCTTAGTCGTACATTGTTGATTTTATTTCTTGTCATGTCTCTGATTCATTCAATTTTTTATTGCTGGATTCTTTTGATTGAAGATTATTGACGCCTTTATGGGATAATAATTGCCTAACACTTTATATATTATTTTCTAAAATCAATGAGGCTGATGTAATCAAATGATTACAAGATATACCGGATGGCTACG